CCTCGCGGAGATGGAAGAAGTAATTCTCTCTCATAGCCTTATGCTCGCCTTGTTCTTCACATTCCAGTTGTATTCCCGGGCGATCTTGTAGTCGTACCTGGGGGGGACACGGGGGGAGGCTTGGGGGTGTCCTGCTCCCCAATTTCCATTTTTCCGGGCCCAAAATGGGCTGCGGGGTCCATCAGTGCTGGGGATCCATTGAGGTCCATGAGGCTACAGAGCTCCTCGTCCCAGGGCTATAGAGCACCCACAACCTATAGGCCCCCCCCACTAAGTTGTACAGTACCCCCTACCTATAGCCCCAACTCCTAAGCTATAGGCACCCCCCCCAAGCTATAGGGCCACCCCAAGCTACAGGACACTAAGAAGCTTTAGGTCTCCCCCCAAGCTATAGGGCCCCCCAAGCTATAGGGAACCCCCCAAGCTATAGAGCACCCCTAAGCTACAGGACACTCCCAAGCTATAGGGCTGCCCCCAAGCTATAGGGCCCCCACAAGCTATAGAGTTCCCCCCTAAGCTATAGACCCCCCCCAAGCTATAGAGCACCCCCCTAAGCTATAGGACCCCCTACACGTCCTCGGGGGCATAGTCCATCTCCTCCTCCAGGTCCCGCTTCCTCTTGCGCAGCGTCTCCTCCACGGGCAGGAAATAGGCCACGAACTGGTTCCCCTCCTCGTCCATCATCCCCCTGTGGGAGGGGGCACAAAGGGGGGTCAATGGGGTTGAATGCCCCTCCCCCCAGTTCCCTCCCAATGTCGGGGTCCCCCCCCCGGTCCCAGTACCGGATCATGGCCTGGGACATCATCTCCAGTGCAGCCGCGCCACTCGTGTCTTTGGGTGCGGGGTCCGAGTCGAAGATCACTTGGGCACAGGGGTTGATCCACATCTGGGGGGCAGTGGGGGAGATTGGGGGGCAGCAGGGGACCAACAGGACCCCGTGGCTCCCCATAGCACCACATGGCTCCCCATAGCGCCCTATGGCAACCCATAGCACTCTGGCACCCCATAGTACCCTGTGGCACCCCACAGCACTCTATGGCTCCCCATAGCACCCTATGGCACCCCACAGCACCCCGTGGCACCCCATAGCACCCCATGGCACCCTCAGTTCTGTAGCACCATGCCTCAGCTTCCCCGATAGGACCCTGGAGCAGGGGTTTGGGGCATCCCCCCCTTACCTTGAAGTCAGGGAACACGGGCATCACCTCCACGGGGTCACACGGGGTTTGCTGTAGTGCTGCGTGATCTGGGGGGGGGGGGGGGGGGGCAGGAGGGGTCACCCCCAAAAGAACCCCCCCCACCCCCCCCCCCCCCACCCCAAATCCCTCACCCCCTTCTGAGCATCCTCAAAGGTCTTCTCGATGGCCGCGATTTGGCTCTCGCGGTCCTTGTAGATCTCCTCCTCTGTGAACTGCTGCTTCACCGAGACCCCAATCCTGGGGGGGGGCACAGGCATCATGGGGGGAGGGGGGCACAGTGGGGACCCCAAAACTCCCCCCCACCTTGGACCCCCCCCTCCAGACTCACTTGACCTCGGGTTTCTCATTGGACACCCCATAGCGGTTGAACTCAGTGGAGATATACTCAGTCTTGCGCATCCATGGCACCACCTTGGCATGCTGTTGAGACCTGTGGGGCCATAGCAGGTTATGGGGGGCACAGAGGGGGTTATGGGCTCCCTGTGACCACCAGAGGGGGTTTAGGGGTCCCAAATGAGAGTTATGGGGGGCACACAGGTGGTTATGGGGTCCCCATTGGGGGTTCTGGGAGGCACAGAGGGGGTTATGGGGTCTCTTGTGTTCCCCAGAGAGGGTTTAGGGGTCCCCATAGGGGGTTATGGTGGGCACAAAGGGGGTTATGGGGTCCCTGAGCTCCCCTGTCACCTCTTGGAGCTGGTGGGTGCCTGGATCTCCTCCTCCAGCAGCTTCTCATCTGCGGGGTCCAGAAGCACTTTGGGGGGCGGGGGGGGGGCGTGGTTCAGAAGGAGGCTTTGGGCCACCCCCCATACCCCCCTGTGCCCCCCCCGCTCACCGCTGGGCTCCACGCGGTACGTGTCGGGGTTGATGAGGTCGATGGTGACGCCCAGGTCAGGCTCTGTGAGTAGGTCGTGCTTGTGCTGCTTCTCCAGCGACGTGGCCTTGTACTGCACGAACCTGGGCGGGGAGCCATGGGGCGCTATGGCTCACCCTGGGGGGCTATGGGTCACCTTGGGGCACTATGGCTCACCCTGGGGGGCTATGGGTCACCTTGGGGCACTATGGCTCACCCTGGGGCGCTATGGGTCACCTTGGGGCACTATGGCTCACCCTGGGGCGCTATGGGTCACCTTGGGGCACTATGGCTCACCCTGGGGCGCTATGGGTCACCCTGGGGCACTATGGGTCACCTTGGGGCACTATGGCTCACCCTGGGGCACTATGGGTCACCTTGGGGCGCTATGGGTCACCCTAGGGCGCTATGGCTCACCCTGGGGCACTATGGGCGGATGTGGAGCACAATAGGGTGCTACAGCATGCAGGTAGATCACTGTAGGGTGGATGTGGGGTGCCATAGGGTTTCTGGGTGCTGGTACTGGCACTCATCGAAGGGCTATTTAGTGAGCTATAGGGTGCTGTAAGGGTCTATGGGTCTCTATGGGGTTGCTATGGGTCTCTACGGGTTGCTATGGGTCACTATGGTGTCTCTATGGGTCTCTATGGGTCGCTATAGGTCTTGGTCTCTGTGGGTCACTATGGGATTTCTGTGGGTCTCTATGGATTTCTATAGGGCGCAGTGGGTCTCAGTGGGGCGTGGTTACCGGCTCTGGTCGAAGGGGTAGGTGATGAACTTGGGGTCAAAGGGGATGTCAGGGAGGCTGTTGCAGTACTTGACCCGGCACACAACCCCTGACCTGGAGGCAAAGGTCAGGGGTCAGTGGGGGGTCAAGGGTCAGGGGTCAATAGGGGAGGGAAGGCCCACCCCCCCCAACTCACCGCTCAGGCAGCGTCCGGTGGGAGCTGGGCCTGGGGGGAGGGGGGAACACGGGAGCTGTGATGTCATCAGGGACACCGTGTGACGTCACCAGCCCCAGTGATGTCATCGACTCCCATGCCGTAGCGACCCTGTGATGTCATCACTCTACACGACATCATGAGCAACCCCCCCATGATGTCACAAAAATTCCCACGACGTAAAGGGCTCCCCTCCCCCCACGCTCTGTGACGTCATGAAGGGCCCCACCCGCCTCACGCTTGCGCTATGACGTCACGCACCGCCCCCTCCCCCCCCCCGTTCTCGACACGCCCTACGACGTCAGGAGGCCGCGCTGGGGTCGCGCCCCCTCCACGCGCGCTATGACGTCAGAAGCATGCCCGACCTCAGAGCCCCCCCGAGTGTGACGTCACGCCGGTGACATCACGCCCCCTTCCCCCTCCCCGCGGCCGCACCTGTGCCCGGGCTCCTCGCGCTGCGCCTGCGTCTGGATGGTGGGAGCCATGGCGGGGCGCGGCCCGCACCGCTTCCGGCAGCCGCTAGGGGGCAGGACCCCTTCCCCGTGACGTCACTTCCCGCCGCGCCGGAAGCGGAGGCAAGATGGCGGCGCCCACGCAGCAGCAGCAGCAACAACCGGGGCCGGGGCCGGGGCCGGGGCCTGGCCCGGGGCCGCCCCCTCCCCCCACCGCCGCCGCCGCCGCCGCCGCCGCCGCCCCGGCCGCCCCCCCCAACGCCCCGGGGCCGGGCGCGGGCCCCGCTCCGCCGCAGGGGCCGCCGCTCCCTGCGCAGGCCGCGGCGCAGGCGCAGGACGTGGACCCGGGGCAGCGGCTGCGGGTGCTGCTGCCGCAGCTCAAGGAGAGCCTCGCGGTGGGCGGGGCCTCGGGGGGTGGGCGGGGCTGACGGGTGGAGGGAGCCAATGGGGGCGGACGGGTTAAGTGTGGGCGGGGCTTTGAGTGAATGGGCGTGGGCACTTGGGAGAGAGCGTGGCTTGGGGCGTCCCCGTGTGACCCCAATGTAGCGCTATGGAGGGGCTGTGACCTCGTGTGAAACCTCCTGACCCCGCCCCCCAGACCCTGATGAAGGTGGCGGCGCAGAACCTGGTGCAGAACTCCAGCATCGACAATGGGCAGTGAGTGACCCCCCTGCACCCCAGGGACCCCCCTGCACCCCCAGGGATCCCCCCTGGACCCCCCAGTGACCCCTCTGCACCCCCAGTGACCCCCCCCGGACCCCCCAGTGCCCCCAGTGACCCCCCTGCACCCCCAGGGACACCCCCGGACCCCCCAGTGACCCCCCTGCACCCCCAGGGACACCCCCACGGGCCCCCCTGCACCCCCAGGGACCCCCCCCCGGACCCCCCAGTGACCCCCCTGCACCCCCAGTGACCCCCCCCGGACCCCCCAGTGCCTCCCAGTGCCCCCAGTGACCCCCCCAGTGACCCCTCAGTGGCACCCCGGACCCCATCAGTGCCCCCCCGCACCCCACTGTGCCCCCAGTGACCCCCAGTGACCCTCCTGGACCCTCCCAGTGTCTCCCCGGATCCCCCCAGTAACCCCCAGTGACCCCCAGTAACCCCCATACACCCTGTCCCCCCCCCAGGAAGAGCGCCGAGGGGCCGCTGCAGCGCTTTGACAAGAGCCTGGAGGAGTTCTATGCCCTGTGCGACCAACTGGAGCTGTGCCTGGTGAGGGACCCCTCTATACCCCCCATAACCACCCCATAGCCTCTCATAAACCCCCATGGCATCCCATAATCCCCCCAACCACTCTCTGTGCCCCTCCCCCACAGCGCCTGGCCCACGAGTGCCTCTCGCAGAGCTTCGACAGCGCCAAGCACGCACCGGGGCTGGTGCCAGCAGCACCCAAGGGGGAGGGGGGCCCCGGGGAGCCGCTGCCCTACACCCAGTACCTGCCCCTCATCAAGGCCCAGATTGCGGGTGCCAAGGACATCCACAACGCACTGCTGGAGGGGGCCAACAAGATCACTGGGAAGCTGCCCCCCCCAGGGGGGCCCTGAGCGATGGGGGTGGATCCCCACCAGGGGGTGATGGATCCCCATGGGTGATGGATTCCCTCATGGATGATGGACCCATCCATGGGAGATGGACCCATCCATGGGGTGATGGACCTCCCATGGGTGATGGACCCGTCCATGGGTAATGGACCCGTCCATAGAGTGATGGATCCCCATGGTTGATGGACTCATCCATGGGTGATGGATCCCAATGGTTGATGGACTCATCCATGGGTGATGGACCCATCCATGGGGTGATGGACCCCTCTGTGGGTAATGGACCTGTCCATGAGGTGATGAACCCATCCATGGGGTGATGGATCCCCCATGAGTGATGGACCTGTCCAATACTCCCATGGGGGGATAAAGGGATTTGGGGGTGGGGGGTGCCCTGTTTTGGAGTCCCTGTGCTGGGTTTTGGGTCTCGAGGAGGGGGTGTCGTGGGGTGCTCCCCCCTCTCCCCCCAGCTTTGGGGGAAAATTGCCTGGTTTGGGGTAAATAAAGTGTGGGGTTTTTTTTGGTATCAGATGTGTGGTGGACGGGGATGTGGCTGGGGGACACGGGGATAGCATTGGATGCACTGGGATAGCACTGGGGGCACTGGGATAGCACTGGGGACACTGGGATAGCACTGGGGTAGCATTGGGGACACTGGGATAGCACTGGGATAGCATTGGGGACACTGGGATAGCATTGGGGACACTGCAGGGGCACGGGGATGGCGCTGTCTCCGTCTCCGTCCGCTGCCACCTCTTTTGACCCTCCCGCGCCGCCGTCGCCGCGGTCGCGCTCTGAACGTGAGCTCGGGCGGTGCTTTCGGCCCAGCCCCGTCACGTGATGTTGCCGCAGCTCTCGCGAGAGGAGGCGGGACCGGGGCCCTGACGGGGGCCGAGGCCAAGACCGGGACCGGGACGGGACCGGGCCAGGCCCAAGAGCCGGGTCCGGCCTCAGCGGGAGCGCAGCGGGGCCCGCGCCTGGAGAGCGGCCGGGCCGGGGCCTAGAGCGGAGCGATCGAGCCCAGCTGAGCGAGGGACCCCCGGCTGGCCCATTGGAACCCCCTTAGGCCCCGCTGGGCCCCCATAGAACCCCTCAGGCCCCATAGAACACCCCCATAAGACCCCCCAGGACCCACAGAACACCCCCATAGGGCCCCCGAGGCCCCATGGAACACCCCCATAGGACCCCTCAGGCCCCATAGAACACCCCCATAGGACCCCTCAGGCCCCATAGAACACCCCCATAGGACCCCTCAGGCCCCATAGAACACCCCCATAGGACCCCTCAGGCCCCATAGAACAGCCCCATAGGACCCCTCAGGCCCCATAGGACCCCCCAGGCCCCATAGGACCCCCATAGGTGCCCCACCCGGCCCCACGATGTCGGACAGTGACGACAGCAACTTCTCTGAGGACGAGAGTGAGCGCAGCAGTGAGGCTGAGGAGGCCGAGGTGAGGCCGAAGCTGCCCCCACTCCGTTATGTGTCTGGGGGGGGATGTGGGGAGCAGGTGCCCTCCTTCACCCCCCCATCCATCATGCCCCATAGGCCGAGGAGGAGCGCGCCAGCGCCGCAGGCAGCGAGAAAGAGGAGGCCGAGGAGGAGGAGGAGGAGGAGGAAGAGGAATACGATGAGGAAGAGGAGGAGGAAGACGATGACCGCCCTGCCAAGAAGCCCCGGCACGGGGGCTTCATCCTGGATGAGGCCGGTGGGTCCTGGGGGGCAGGCGGGGGGTGATGGGGGGGTTTGGGGTCACTGGTACACCCCAGCCCCACTCACCCCCCCCGGCCCCCCCAGATGTGGATGATGAGTACGAGGACGAGGATCAATGGGAGGATGGAGCCGAGGACATCCTGGAGAAAGGTGAGGAGGGCCATCCCCCGTTTAGGGGTGTGTGTCCCCCTGCAGAGCAGGGGCAGACACCGGTGGTGCAGCCCCACAGCAGGGGGGCCCCCCCGATCCCCCCCACGTCTGTGTCAGCCCATCTCATCCGCGCTCCCTGCGGGCTTTCGGGGCTTCTCCTGACCCCCTTTCCTTGTTCCCAACCCCTTTTTCCCTTTTCCCAATCCCCTTTCCCTGCTCCTGATCCCTTTTCCCTCTTCCCGACCCCTTTTCCCTGCTCCTCATCCCTTTTCTCTCTTCCCAATCCCCTTTTTCTTCTTCCTAGTCTGGTTTTCCTCCTTTTCCCCTCCTCCTAGCCACTTTCCCTCCCTCTTCCCTGCTCCCTGCCCCCGCTCCTAACGCTGCCTCCCCTTTGTCCCGCGGGGGGTTCTCGTGCCGCTCATTCGCTCCATCTCCACCGTCATTCCTTGTCCCGGGAAGAGGAGATCGAAGGTAAGCCCCCCCCGATCCCCCCGTTCCCATTGGGATCCCCCTTCACCCCCAGCCCTCACCTTCCTCTTCCTTGCAGCTTCCAACATTGACAACGTGGTGCTGGATGAGGATCGCTCTGGAGCGCGGCGCCTGCAGAACCTCTGGAGGTGACACGGGGTGGCATTCCCGGCACCCGGCATTCCCTGGGTCTGGGGGGGTCTCCATTGAGCCCCTTTTCCTCTTGCTCTTCCTCAGGGATCAGCGGGAGGAAGAGCTGGGCGAGTATTACATGAAGAAATATGCCAAGTCCTCAGTGGGAGAGACGTGAGTCCCAACGCACATCCCATTCCCATCCCATTGCATTGCATCCTGATCGCATCCCATCCCAACCCCATCTCATCCCATTCCCATCCCATTGCATCCTATCCTGATCGCATCTCATCCCATTCCCATCCCATTGCATCTCATCCCATTCACATCCCATCCCATTGCATCCCATCCCAATCCTATCTCATCTCATTCCCATCTCATTGCATCCCATCCTGACCGCATCTCATCCCATTCCCATCCCATTGCATCCCATTCCCATCCCATTGCATCCCATCCTGATCTCATCCCATTCCCGTCCCATTGCATCTCATCCCGATCCCATCTCATCCTATTCCCATTTTATTGCATCCCATCCCAATCACATCTCATCCCATTCCCATCCCATTGGCATCTCATCCCGATCCCATCTCATCGCATTCCCATCCCATTGCATCCCATCCCGATCCCATCTCATCACATTCTCATCCCATTGCATCGCATCCTGACCCTATCTCATCCCATTCCCATCCTATTCCCATCCCATCTGACCCCATCTCATCCCATTCCCATCCCATCCCGACCCCATCTCATCCCTTCCGGTATTTCCCCTTTCCGCAGTGTTTATGGCGGCTCCGATGAGCTCTCAGATGACATCACCCAACAGCAGCTGCTGCCGGGGGTCAAGTGAGTCCCATCGGGAATGGGGTGGATTTGGGATGGATTTGTAGGAGCTGGGGGCATTTGGGATGAATCAAGTGGGAAATGGCGGGGGGGGGGGGGGGGGGGCTCGGGGCCTAAGGGGGTTTGGATGCAAACAGAAGGAACTGGAGCCACGGCTCCCTCTGTGCTTCTGCAGGGACCCCAACCTCTGGACCGTAAAGTGCAAGGTGGGTGCTGGGGTGGGGGACAAATGGGGGTCCACGTGTGCCCCCCCAAACCCCTCTTTTCCACCCCCATAACCCCTTTACCCCCCCCAGATCGGGGAGGAACGCTCCACCGCCATCGCCCTCATGCGCAAGTTCATCGCTTACCAGTTCACTGACACGGTGAGGCCCAGCCCGGTGCCATCCTGGTGCCATCCCCACCCTATCCCCCCCCATCCCCGCCGTATCCCCACCTTACACTCACCCTATCCTCACCGTACCCCCACCCTATCTCCACCATGTCCCCACCCTATCCCCACCCTGTCCCCACCGTATCCTCACCCTATCTCCACCATATCCCCACCATATCCTCACCTTATCCACCCCCCCTGCCCTGCAGCCGCTGCAGATCAAGTCGGTGGTGGCACCGGAGCACGTCAAGGGCTACATCTACGTGGAGGCCTACAAACAGACGCACGTGAAGCAGGCAATCGAGGGCGTGGGCAACCTGCGCCTGGGCTACTGGAACCAGCAGATGGTCCCTATCAAGGAGATGACCGACGTGCTCAAGGTGGTCAAGGAGGTCACCAACCTCAAGCCGAAGTCCTGGGTGCGCCTCAAGAGAGGCATCTACAAGGATGACATCGCCCAAGTAATGGGGGCATGGGGGGCAGCAATGGGGCGGGGGGGCACACACACACAGAGCAAGGGATGGGGAGGGCTTAGCCCCCCGTGGTGCCCCCCAGGTGGATTACGTGGAGCCCAGCCAGAACCAGATCTCCCTCAAGATGATTCCTCGCATCGACTTCGACCGCATCAAAGCCCGCATGAGCCTGGTGAGAGCAGCCAGGGCCTTTCCTGGGCCGTCCCAGTGCTGCTTGTCCCCCTGCCTTCCCCCCCCTCACCCCTTCCCTGGCCCCTGCAGAAGGACTGGTTCGCCAAGAGGAAGAAGTTCAAGAGACCCCCCCAGCGCCTTTTTGATGCCGAGAAGATCCGGTAAGACCCCACTTGGGGACACCAATTGCCCCCCCCTGAGGAAACGCCCCCCTGGGGAGGAGCCTCCTGCCCACCCTGGGGGGTTCGGGTCTGTCCCAGGTCGCTGGGAGGGGACGTGGCCTCCGATGGGGATTTCCTCATCTTCGAAGGGAACCGCTACAGCCGGAAGGGGTTCCTGTTCAAGAGCTTTGCGATGTCGGCCGTGGTGAGCCCCGGGCTTGGACCAGCCCCATCACTAACATCCAGACCCCCCCTTTGCGCCCCGGCTTGGGGTCACTCCATCCCCTTGCCATAGATCACGGAGGGGGTGAAGCCGACGCTGTCAGAGCTGGAGAAGTTTGAGGACCAGCCCGAAGGCATCGACCTGGAGGTGGTGACAGAGAGCACAGGTACCCGGTGCCGCCGCCGGCTCCCATCCCCAGTCACCATCCCCGGTGCGCCGGTGCCATCCCCTCCGCTCCCTAGGGAAGGAGCGGGAGCACAACTTCCAGCCGGGAGACAACGTGGAGGTGTGCGAGGGGGAGCTCATCAACCTGCAGGGCAAGATCCTCAGCGTGGATGGCAACAAGATCACCATCATGCCCAAGCACGAGGACCTCAAGGTCAGCATCGCCCCGGGAGCCCCCTGCACCCCTCCCCATGTCCTGTGTCCCTGCATCCATGGCCCTCATCCTGCTCTGTCCCAGGACATGCTGGAGTTCCCAGCCCAGGAGCTGCGCAAGTACTTCAAGATGGGCGACCACGTGAAGGTGATCGCGGGGCGCTTCGAGGGCGACACTGGCCTCATCGTGCGCGTGGAGGAGAACTTCGTCATCCTCTTCTCTGACCTCACCATGCACGAGGTGCCAGGGAGGGAATGGGGGGAAGGGGGGGGTGGCGGGGTGGGTCTGGGCTCAATCCTGACTCTTCCCCCCCAACAGCTGAAGGTGCTGCCCCGAGACCTGCAGCTCTGCTCGGAGACGGCCTCCGGGGTGGATGTTGGGGGGCAGCACGAGTGGGGGGAGCTGGTGCAGCTCGACCCCCAGAGCGTGGGGGTCATCGTGCGCCTGGAGCGGGAGACGTTCCAGGTACCCCCATGGGCACCCATAACCCCCCCCCCCCTCCATGGATACCCATAACCCCCCCATGGACACCCATAACCTCCCTCATGGACACCCATAACCACCCCATGGACACCCATAACCTCCCCCATGGACACCCATAATGCATAGACACCCGTAACCCCCCCATAGATACCCATAATCCCCTCATGGACACCAACACCCGCCAAGGACACCAACCATTTCTTGGTGCTACCATAACTACATCCCACGGGTATCTCCCCCCTCAGCCTCCTACCATAGGGGTTCCTCATCCCCATGGGGGGGTCCCCCTTGCTGTGCCCCCCTCCTCGCCATGCTGTGCCCCCCCCCAGGTGCTGAATATGTACGGGAAGGTGGTGACAGTGCGGCACCAGGCGGTCACCAGGAAGAAGGACAATCGCTTCGCTGTGGCGCTGGACTCGGAGCAGAACAACATCCACGTCAAGGACATCGTCAAAGTCATTGATGGGCCCCATTCGGTGGGTGCTGGGGTGGGCCAGGGGGATCCAGGCCGTTGGTGCCCCTCCTGGCACCTTGGGGGTGGTCCTTGGTGCCCCTCCTGACACCCTGGGGATGGTCCTTGGGGTTCCTCCTGGCACCTTGGGGATGGTCCTTGGGGTTCCTCCTGGCACCTTGGGAATGGTCCTTGGGGTCCCTCCAGCCCCACGGGGCTGTCGAATCCATCCCGTCACAGCAGGATGGACCCAGCCTCATCCCGGGGGCTCAGCCCCCCCCCGCCCCCTTTTTCCTGCTGTTCACCCCTTGTGTTCCTGTGATAGGGCCGGGAAGGGGAGATCCGGCACCTCTTCCGCGGCTTCGCCTTCCTGCACTGCAAGAAGCTGGTGGAGAATGGGGGCATGTTCGTGTGCAAGACCAGGCACCTGGTGCTGGCTGGGGGCTCCAAGGTGGGATCCCCCCCTTTATCCCGAATCCCACCCCTCCTTTATCCCGTATCCCCCCCATTCCGAAGCTTTTCCTCGCGCAGCCCCGGGACGTCACCAACTTCACCATCGGCGGCTTCGCGCCCATGAGCCCCCGCATCAGCAGCCCCATGCACCCCAGTGGTGCTGGTGAGTTCCTGGGGGGGGGGGGGGGTGAGTTCCCATCCCTGATCCCGGCTCCATCCCCATCCCGGCTCCATCCCAATCCCGGCTCCATCCCCATCCCATCCCCAACCCGGCTCCATCCCCATTCCGTCCCCATCCTGTCTCCATCCCATTTCCATCCCCACTCCCGTCTCCATCCATGTCCTGACTCCATCCCAATCCTATCTCCATCCCTATCCCGTCCCCATGCTGGCTCCATCCCCATCCCGTTCCAATCCCATTTCCATCCCCGTCCTGTCTTCATCCCCATCCCATCCCCATCCCATCTCCATCTCCATCCCAATTGCATCCCATCCCGGCTCCATCCTGTCCCTATCCCATCCTGATCCCATTTCCATCCCCATCCCGGCTCCATCCCTCAGGCCAGCGCGGAGGCTTCGGCTCCGGTGGGATGAGCCGTGGCCGCGGGCGCCGGGACAACGACCTCATTGGCCAGACCGTGCGCATCTCTCAGGGGCCCTACAAAGGTGGGTGCCCCCCTGACCCGCCCCCCCCCCCAGGGCAGGGAGGATTTCCCCGGGTGCCCCCCCCATTGCCCCCCCTGTTGCCCTCCAGGGTACATCGGGGTGGTGAAGGATGCCACCGAGTCCACGGCGCGCGTGGAGCTGCACTCGACCTGCCAGACCATCTCCGTGGACCGGCAGCGCCTCACCACCGTGTGAGTGGGGCCCGTGGGGTGGGCAGCACCCAGCAGGGGACCCATGGGGCTGGGCAGCACCCAGCGGGGGTCTCCATGGGGCAGGGCAGCACCCAACGGGGGACCCCATGGCTGGGCAGCATCCAATGGGGACCCCATGAGGCAGGGCAGCACCCAATGGGGGACCCTGTGGGGCAGGGTAGCACCCAATAGGTGCCCCCTTGGCCCCCCCAGGGCTCAGTGTCTCTGTGTCCCACAGGGGCTCACGGCGGCCGGGGGGGATGACCTCTGCCTATGGGCGCACCCCCATGTATGGCTCCCAGACCCCCATGTACGGCTCTGGGTCTCGCACCCCCATGTACGGCTCCCAGACCCCCCTGCACGATGGTGAGTGAGGGGGGGCACGGGGATGGGATGGGGGGGCCCAACTGGGTTTGGGGCCCCCCCCTCACTGTGGGTCTGTTTGGTGGGGCACAGGCAGCCGCACCCCACACTATGGATCCCAGACCCCACTGCATGACGGGAGCCGCACCCCAGCCCAGAGCGGGGCCTGGGACCCCAACAACCCCAACACCCCCTCCAGGTAGGTGTGGGGGGAACCCCTGCTATGGGGCAGCCCCACTTTGGGGGGTCGTCCCCCTTCCCTCACCATGATCCCCTCCCCTTTATCCCCCCCCATAGGGCGGATGAGGACTTCGAGTACGGCTTCGACGACGAGCCCACCCCGTCCCCGCAGGGATATGGGGGGACCCCAAACCCCCAAACCCCCGGGTACCCCGACCCCTCATCCCCACAGGTCAACCAGCCCTACAACCCCCAGACCCCTGGCACGCCGGCCATGTGAGTGTGGGCACCCCACAGCCAGGAGGGGGGACCCCAAACATGGGGCTGGGAGGGGAATGGTGATGGGGGTACCCCAACCATGGGTCTGTGGAGACCCCAAACAATGGACTGAGGGGGGAATGCTGATGGGGGGACCCCGCATATGGGTCTGTGGGGACCCCAATCATGGGTCTATGGGGACCCCAAACACGGGGCTGGGGGGCGCGGTGCTGATGGCTCCCATGGGGGGCTCCGGTCCTGTCCCCTCCCCCAGGTACAACACGGAGCAGTTCTCCCCCTACGCGGTGCCGTCGCCGCAGGGCTCGTACCAACCCAGCCCCAGTCCCCAGAGCTACCACCAGGTAGCGCCCAGCCCCGTGGGCTACCAGAACAGCCACTCACCGGCCAGCTACCACCCGACGCCATCCCCCATGGCTTATCAGGTACCCATAGAGCCCTGTGGAGCCCTGTAGAGCCCTACAGAGCCCTATAGCGCCCCATAGCCACCTCCCATCCCTTTAACCCCCTTTGTGCCCCCCCCCCCAGGCCAGCCCCAGCCCCAGCCCTGTGGGGTACAGCCCCATGACCCCTGGGGCACCGTCGCCAGGGGGGTACAACCCGCACACCCCGGGCTCGGGCATCGAGCAGAGCTCCAGCGACTGGGTCACCACTGACATCCAGGTGAAGGTGCGGGACACGGCGCTCGACAGCCCCAGTGTGGGGCAGACCGGCGTCATCCGCAGCGTCACGGTGAGCCCCACTGGGGGGGGGGGGGGGGGCATGGGGGGGTCTATGGGGGTGTATAGGCATGTATAAGGGTGTATATGGGGTGTGTAGGGGTGTATGGGGGTGTACATGGGATGTATGGGAGTGCATAAGGGTGTATATGGGGTGAATTGGGGTGTATAGGGGTGTATATGGGGTTTATATGGGGTGCATAGGTGTATGGGGGTGTATGAGGGTGTATAGGGGTGTATATGGGGGTGCTGACACCCCCGCCCCACAGGGGGGGATGTGCTCTGTGTACCTCAAGGACAGCGAGAAGGTGGTGAGCATCTCCAGCGAGCACCTGGAGCCCGTCACCCCCACCAAGAGCAACAAGGTATGGCCGTGGCGCACCCCATAGGATACCCCAGAGCCCCGTCGGTTACCCCAGAACCCCATGGGATGCCCCAGAGCCCCATAGGGTACACCAGAGCCGCATAGGATACCCCAGAGCCCCATAGGGTGCCCCAGAGCCCCATAGGAATTCCATGAGACCTCCAGGACCCAGTGGGGATCCCCAACACCATGGGGCACCCCCAGACACATGGGACTCTCACAGCCCCACAGGGCAGCCCCCAACCCCATAGGTTTCCCCCCTCCATGGCCCTCACCCCATGGCCCCTCATAGACCTCCTAGAACCACACACCCAACCCCTCTGCACCCCCAAAGTCCCCTTTCCCCCCCATTGCACCCCTCCCCCCGACCCCACTGCTGCCCCTCAGGTGAAGGTGATCCTGGGCGAGGACCGGGAAGCCACTGGGATCCTGCTCAGCATCGATGGGGAGGACGGGATCGTCCGCATGGACCTGGAGGAGCAGCTCAAGATCCTCAACCTGCGCTTCCTCGGGAAGCTGCTGGAGGCCTGAGCCCCACCCCGCGACCCCGTGGTCTTGTGCCCCCCATTTCCCCCCATTTCTCTTCCATTTCCCCCCTATTTCCCCCCCTCTTCCCATCCCTGCCGGTTGTAGCAAGGTTTAGATGTCAAATAAACGCCTGTGGCTGCGGCACCCCATTTTCCATGCTCTCCTCTATGGGGCGGGCCCCATAGGGCGGGGGTTGGGGATGAAATTGGGACCCCCCCCCAGGGGTGAACAAGGCCTCTGTACCCCACGGGGAAGGGGAATGAGGGGTTAAACCGGCCCCATTGTGCGGTGGGTTGGGGGGCAGGGCCCTATGGGGTGGGCGTTAAACCGGGTCCCCCCCATCCGCTGCCCCATAGGCGCGGGACGGCGGGAGCTAGGACCCAACACACGCGTTCCGCTCCCTCCTCCCTCCCGCCGCTTCTCATTGGCTTTCCCGGCTCTTAATCCCGCCTCCTCTTCGCCACCATTGGTCTTCCCTCGCCTTGCCCCCCGCCTACTGCGTGGCAGCGCGGGGAGGCGATTGGCTGAAGTTTCCGCGCCTGCGCGGTGCGGTGCGATGGCGGCGGCGGCGGCGGCGCTGCTGGGGCGGGCGGTTGCGGCCTGCGGGGCCCGGCGGGGCCGGGGCTGGGCCCGGGCCTGGGCCCGGGCCTGCAGCGGCAGCGCCGGAACCGGGGCCGTGCTGCGGGAGCGGCTGCGGCGGGACCAGGTGCGGGGGGGGCGCGGGGGCACCGGCGGGGCCTGGAGCTCACCGGGGCCGTGCGGGGGTCCCGGGGTCCGCCCTTAGCCGGGCCTGTCCCCATCCCCGTGCGCGTCCCACGGCCCGTGTCCCATATCCCGTACCCTATACTCTATATCCGGTACCCTGTACCCTATACCCCGTACCCTGTACCCTATAGCTTGTACCGTCCCCTATAGCCTGTGCCCTATAGCCTGTACCGTCCCCTATAGCCTGTGCCCTATAGTCGGTACCGTCCCCTATAGCCTGTACCCTATAGTCTGTACCGTCCCCTATAGCCTGTACCCTATGTTCTGCACCCTATAGCCTGTACCGTCCCCTATAGCCTGTGCCCTACAGCCTGTACGCTACAGTCTGTACCTTATGGCCTGTACCTTATAGCCTGTACCGTCCCCTATAGCCTGTACCCTATAGTCTGTACCCTATGGCCTGTACTCTATAGCCTGTACCGTCCCCTATAGCCTGTGCCCTACAGCCTGTACCCTATAGTCTGTACCCTATGGTCTGCACCCTATAGCCTGTACCATCCCCTACAGCCTGTACCCTATAGTCTGTACCCTATAGCCTGTACCCTATGGCCTGTACTCTATAGCCTGTACCATCTCCTATAGTCTGTACCGTCCCCTATAGCCTGTACCCTATAGTCTGTACCCTATGGCCTGTACTCTATAGTCTGTACCGTCCCCTATAGCCTGTGCCCTACAGCCTGTACTCTATAGCCTGTACCGTCCCCTATAGCCTGTACCCTATAGTCTCTGCCCTATAGCCTGTATCCTATAGCCTGTAGCTATCCCATAGCCCGTACCGTCCCCTATAGCCCTGTGCCGGTTCCCCTCCCAGGCAGCAGGGGGCGCCGGAGCCGCGGGGGACGCGGAGGAGCAGCGGCGCTGGGCGCGGGGCGGGGCGCGGCGCTTGGCCCTGCGCCTGGCGGGGCTGCTCGGGGCCGGCGGCGGCGTCGCCATCGTCTGCATTTTCGGTGGGTACCGACAGCGCCCCCCAGCGGCGCGCCCCCATTGACCCCAGTGTGCCCCAGTGTAACCCCCATTGCCCCCATCGACCCAAATGGAACCCCCATTGCCCCCAATGTAACCCCCAGTGCACCCCAATGTGCCCCAGTGTAACCCACATCGACTCAAATGTAACCCCCATTGCCCCCAATGTAACCCCCAATGCACCCCAATGTGCCCCATGTAACCCCCATTGCCCCCATCGACCCAAATGTAACCCCCATTGCTCCCAGTGTAACCCCCAGTGCACCCCAATGTGCCCCATGTAACCCCCATTGCCCCCATCGACCCAAATGTAACCCCCATTGCTCCCAATGTAACCCCCAGTGCACCCCAATGTGCCCCATGTAACCCCCATTGCCCCCATCGACCCAAATGTAACCCCCATTGCCCCCAATGTAACCCCCAGTGCACCCCAATGTAACCCCCATTGCCCCCAATGCACCCCAATGTGCCCCAGTGTAACCCCCATTGCCCCCATTGACCCCAATGTAAACCCCATTGCCCCGAGTGTAACCCCCAATGCACCCCAATGTGCCCCAATGTAACCCCCATTGCCCCCAGTGCACACCAGTGTAACGCCAGTGCCCCAATGTGCCCCAATGTAACCCCCATTGTCCCCAATGTACCCCCCATTGCATCCCAATGTAACCCCTATTGCATCCCCATGTACCCCCCATTGCATCCCAATGTACCCCCCATTGCCCCCAATGTATCCCCCCTATGTCCTCCTAGTGTCCCCCCCCATTGCCCCCAGCACCCCCTGACCCCCCCATGTCTTCCCCCCAGGCAGCAATGCAGTGGATGAGCACGGAGCAAAGGTGAGGCCCCCACTGGGGACATGGGGGGGGGGGGGTGTAGCCTTGTGCCCCCCCCCTTGTCCTTCATCATCGGCCCCTGGGGGGGGGGGGGGGTGGGGTGTTGTCCCCCAAAGGGCCGTTGTGTGGCAATGGGAGAGGTGACAATTGGCTGCAGGGTTGGACATCAAAGGGGGGGATGGGGCCATCAGTGAGGCCATGGGGACATCAATGGGGACATCAATGGGGCCATGGGGATGTCAATGGGGCTATGGGGACATCAATGGGGCGGAAGGAAACTGTGGCAACTACTTGTTAAGTGTCCCTGTCACCTCCTGCCTCCCTTCCCACCCCGGGATGAGCCCCCCCCCCGGTGGCACCAGCACCCCCCAAGTGCCCCCCTCTTACCCCCTGTTCCCTCCTCTCCCCACAGATCCCAGATGAGTTTGATGGAGGTGAGTTGGGGGGGGGCACCCCCAGGGCCATTTCTCTCCTTGGTGTCACAACCAAAGGCTTTGATGTTGCTTTAAGGCTCTGGTTTGACCCCGAACCAGGGGGGTTTGGGGGTGCTCTGCTCTGTGGGGGGGTGGTGGGGACATGGGCCCCCCCCCATCTCCGGCCTGTCCCCATAGACCCCGTGGGCATCCAGCAGCTCCGTAGGACCTACAAGTACTTCAAGGACTACAGGCAGGTTGGTGGCTGCAGCCTGTTTGCCCCCATTGGAGCCTGTTTGCCCCCATTGGAACCTGTTTGCCTCCATTGCACCCTGTTTACCCCTGTTGGAGCCTCTTTGCCCCCATTGCACCCTGTTTGCCCCCATTGGACCCTGTTTACCCCTATTGGAGCCTCTTTGCCCCACTGCACCCTGCTTGCCCCCGCTGGAACCTGTTTGTCCCCATTGCACCCTGTTTGTCTCCATTGTGCCCTATTTGCCCCCATTGGAGCCTCTTTGCCCCCCCCCAGATGATCATCGAGCCCACCAGCCCCAAGCTGCTGCCGGACCCCCTGCAGGAGCCCTATTACCAGCCCCCCTACACGCTGGTCATCGAGCTCACAGATGTGCTGCTGCACCCCGAATGGTCGGTGAGTGCCCCCCGCGCCGCCCCCCGTGGCACCCAGTGCCCCCCCCATTGACACCCCCTTTGTACCCCCCCCAAACCCCAGCTCGTCACCGGGTGGCGCTTCAAGAAGCGCCCGGGCATCGAGAGCTTCCTGCAGCAGCTGGCGCCGCTCTATGAGATTGTGGTGTTCACCTCCGAGACCGGCATGGTGGGCACCGTGGGGTGAATGGGGGCCATGGGGTGAATGGGGCCTATGGGGTGGATGGGCGCCATGGGGTGAATGGGGCCTATGGGGTGGATGGGTGCCATGGGGTGAATGAGGCCAATGGGGTGGATGGGCCCTGATGGGGGTGAATGGGTCCCGATGGGGGTGAATGGGTCCCAACGGGGGTGAATGGGTCCCAACGGGGGTGAATGAGCCCTAATGGAATGAATGGACCATGATGGGGTTGAATGGGCCCCAGTGGAGTGAATGGGTCCCAGCGGGGGTAAATGGACCCCAATTGAGTGAATGGGTCCCAACAGCGGTGAATGGGCCCCAGTGGGAGTGAATGGGCCCCATGGGGGTGAATGGACCCCACTGGAGTGAATGGGTCCCAATGGGGGTGAATGGGCCCCGATGAGTGCCCCCCACCCCCTGCAGGCTCTCACCCCCACCCCCCCCCCCCCGTTTCAGACCGCATTCCCGCTCATCGACAGCGTGGACCCGCATGGCTTCGTCTCCTACCGCCTGTTCCGTGATGCCACGCGCTACATGGACGGGCAGCACGTGAAGGTGGGGGCACGGCAGGGACCTGACGGGGGGGCGGCCACCCCCAAACCTGCCCTGAGCACCCATTGCTGGGTCCGTGCCCCCCCCCATTGCAGGACATCTCGTGCCTGAACCGGGACCCGGCGCGGGTGGTGGTGGTGGATTGCCGGCGCGAGGCCTTCTGCCTCCAGCCCCACAACGGCCTGGCCCTGCCGCGCTGGGACGGCAGCTCCGAGGACCGGCAGCTCTACGACCTGGCTGCCTTCCTCAAGAGTGAGTCCCCCGTGGTGTCCCCGTGGTGTCCCTGTGGTGCCTGTGCTGTGTCCATGGTGTCCCCACGGTGTCCCCGCAGCCATTGCGCTCAGCGGCGTGCCGGACGTGCGCCCGGTGCTGGAGCACTACGCGCTGGAGGAGGATCCCTTGGCAGCCTTCAAACGGCGTCGGACACAGCTGGAGGAGGTGGGAGGGGGATGTTGGGGTGGGGGGGAAACCCCAAAGCAGGGATGTTAGGGGGGGACCCCCAAAGCAGGGGTGCAGGAGGGGGGGTCCCCAAAGGAGAGGTGCGGGAGGGGGAGGTACCGGAGCCCGTTGCCCACTGGGGCCCTGTGCCCCCCCCAGGAGGAGCAGCAGCGCCGGGAGGAGCTGGCCCAGGGCAAGAAGCCCCCCCCGGGGCTGTTCCTGGGCTCCTGGGCCGGGCGCCTCTGGGGGCGCTCCAAGCAGCAGTGATGGCGTCAGAGTGATGTCAGCGTGACGTCAGAGAGGAGCAGCACCCGCCGGGGGGAGGGGGCACTGCCTCACTGCTCCCACCCCCCTACCATCATTGATGGCATCTGAATGGGGATGGAGAACCGGGCATGGACCTGGGGATGGGAGGGGATGAGGCGTTGGGGGGGGGGGGGGGTGTGCGGTTTTGGGGGGGTTTGGCCCCCGGTGGGGGTGAATAAAGGAGATGTGGAACCCGCTGTGCCTGGTCATGACTTTGTGGGGGGCCAATGGGCCTGGGGCGGAGCTTATGGGCGGGGGCAGCGGGACTTGGCGCTAGAAAGGGGGTGTTGGGGGGATGGGGTGGGCTCAGACCCCCGGTGCCGGCCATGGCTGCGGGGCTCGTGTGCGCCTTCCTCACCCTCCTCTTCCTCCCAGCGGTGAGCGGGGGGGGGGACGGGACACAAGGGAGGGCTATGGGGGGGGGCCCTGGCTGCTGGGGGGGGGTGGGGGGTATCTGAGTGCTATGAGGGGGGGTCTCTGGGGGTCTCGGTGCTGAGGGGGGGTCTCTGGGGGTATTTGGGAGCTATGGGGGGGGGTCTCTGGGTGCTATGGGGGGGGTCCTGGGGAGTCTCTGGGTGCTGGGGGGGTTCTATGGGGGGGCGTGTGTGGGTGCTATGGGGGGGGTCAATGGGTGCTGAGGGGTGTCTCTGGGGTGATCTCTGGGTGCTGAGGGGGGGTCTCCGGGGGGTTCTCCCTCAGGTCCGCCCCTGGGGGGTGCTGGAGCTGCGGGTGCTGTCGGCGCGGGGGGGGGCGGGGGGCCCCCTCGTTTTCCGCCTCTGCCTGCGCCCCCCCGGGGGGGGCGGCTGCTCCCTGGGGGTCACCCACAGCCCCCCCGGGCCACCCCCGCGCCCCGGAGCCCCCCGGACCCTGCGCCTGCCCCTCGCCTACCCCTGGCCGGTGAGAACCCCCCATTGTGACCCCCATTGAGTTCCCCATTGTGACCCCATTGAGATCCCCATTGTGATCCCCCCATTGTGAACCCCACTGTGACCCCCCATTGTGACCCCCCCATTGTGACCCCCACTGAGACCCCCATTGTAACCCCCAATTGTGACCCCCCCCCCCATTGTGACCCCCCCATTGCCCCCCCCCCAGGGCACTGTGTCCCTCATCATCGAGTCCTGGCGGCTGGAGGAGGCTGAAGGCTCCGGGGGTGAGGGGGGGTCAAATGGGGGGGAGCTACATGGGGGACCTGAGGGGGTTTGGGGGTGTCTATGGGTGCTACAGGGGTATCTATGTGTGCTATGGGTGTCTACGGGGTGTCTATGGGGTGTCTATGGGAGGGTCTAGGGGTGTCTATGGGGTATCTAGGGGGGCTATGGGGGTATCTATGGGAGGGTCTAGGGGTGTCTATGGGGTATCTAGGGGTGCTATGGGGGTATCTATGGGGTGTCTATGGATGTCTATGGGGTATCTATGGGTGCTAGGGGGGTACCTATGGGTGCTATGGGGGGGTCACCGTGCTCTGCCCCCTCCAGCCCCCCGGGGCCGCCTCCTTGGCCGCGCCGTGACCCGGCAGCACCTCTCCCCTGGGGGGCCCTGGCGGGGGGGGGTGGGGGGGGGGCTCCGCTTCGGGACCCGCCTGCGCTGCCGCCCCCCCCCCTGCGCCCGCCGCTGCCGCCCCGCCCTCCCCCCCGCCTGCCGAGGCCCCTCTCCCCGCCGCTGCTGGAGCCCCCCCCGCCGTGAGTCCTCCCCCCCCCCCCCGGCACCCCTCCACTGGGGACCCCCCCCCATTGGGGTCCCCTGGGTCTGGGAGAGGCCTTGACCCCCCCCTCTATCCCCCAGGTGGGTGTCGGGATCCCTGCGCACCCCCCAAAGGCAGCGCCTGCAGCAAGGGGGGGCTCTGCATGGTGAGTGGGGGACCCCCGGCAACAGGGACCCCCCCATTGACCCCCCTCGGACCCATTGACACCACTGGGACCCCATTGACCCCCTCGGCCCCCACTGACACCCCCCCAAGCTCCCATTGACATCACTGGGACCTCATTGAACCCCCCGGGCCCCATTGACCCCCCCAAGCCTCCATTGACCCCCCCCAACCCCCATTGACCCTCCCCGGGACCCCATTGACCCCCTTGGCCCCATTGACCCCACAGGGACCCCATTGACACCACAGGGACCCCACTGATGCAACGCCTCCCCCGTGCCCCACATTCCCCCTGCAGGGTCACGCCAGCAACTCCGCAGGGCCCCGCTGCGATGGCCCCAGCCCGGCCCGCGCACAGGGAATGGCACCGGGAGCACCGGGAATGGCACCGGGAGCATCGGGAATGGCACCAGGGACACCGGGAATGACACCGGGAGCACCAACGGTGGCACTGGAAGCGCTGGAGATGGCCCCAGTGGCCCCAGTGGCACCGGCATCGGCAGCACTGGAAGAGATACTGGGAGCACCGGGAGAGGCACCAGGAGCACCGGGAATGGCACCGGGAGCACCAACGGTGGCCCTGCAGGCACCAGCGCTGTCACCAGTGATGGTACTGGGAGCACTGGGGACATTGGGAATGACACCGGGAGCACCGGGACTGGTACCGGGAGCAGCAGTGATGGATCCAGGAGCACCAGCAACATTGGGAACAGCACAGGGAGTGGCACTGGGAGCAGCAGTGATGGATCCAGGTGCACCGGGAACACTGGGAATGGCTCCAGAAGCACCGGGAATGGCTCCGGGAGCACCGGGAATGGCACTGGGAGCCCCAGTGATGGATCCAGGAGCACCACTGATGGATCCAGGAGCACCGGGAGCATTGGGAATGGCTCCAGCATTACTGGGAATGGCACCAGGAGCACCGGAAGCCATTGGGATGGATCCAGGAGTACCGGGAGCACCGGGAGTGGCACCAGGAGCCCCAGTGATGGATCCAGGAGCACTGGGATCACCGGGAACGGCTCCGGCGGCTCCGGGATCGCCCTCGCCGGCCCCGGTCCCCCTGGAGCCATCCCCGTGCGCCCTCGGGCCCTGCTTCAACGGCGGCGCCTGCGCCCCCCGCGGCCGCGGCTTCTCCTGCCGCTGCCCCCCCGGCTTCCGCGGCGCCAACTGCGAGCGGCGCAGCGACGGCTGCGCCCTGCAGCCGTGTCTGCATGGTATGTACACATACATGGGTGGTACATGGGTGGTACATGTGTGTTATGTGACGGCTGCGCCCTGCAGCCGTGTCTGCATGGTATGTACACATACATGGGTGGTACATGGGTGGTACATGTGTGTTATGTGACGGCTGCGCCCTGCAGCCGTGTCTGCATGGTATGTACACATACATGGGTGGTACATGGGTGGTACATGTGTGTTATGTGACGGCTGCGCCCTGCAGCCGTGTCTGCATGGTATGTACACATACATGGGTGGTACATGGGTGGTACATGTGTGTTATGTGACGGCTGCGCCCTGCAGCCGTGTCTGCATGGTATGTACACATACATGGGTGGTACATGGGTGGTACATGTGTGTTATGTGACGGCTGCGCCCTGCAGCCGTGTCTGCATGGTATGTACACATACATGGGTGGTACATGGGTGGTACATGTGTGTTATGTGACGGCTGCGCCCTGCAGCCGTGTCTGCATGGTATGTACACATACATGGGTGGTACATGGGTGGTACATGTGTGTTATGTGACGGCTGCGCCCTGCAGCCGTGTCTGCATGGTATGTACACATACATGGGTGGTACATGGGTGGTACATGTGTGTTATGTGACGGCTGCGCCCTGCAGCCGTGTCTGCATGGTATGTACACATACATGGGTGGTACATGGGTGGTACATGTGTGTTATGTGACGGCTGCGCCCTGCAGCCGTGTCTGCATGGTGTGTACACATACATGGGTGGTACATGGGTGGTACATGTGTGTTATGTGACGGCTGCGCCCTGCAGCCGTGTCTGCATGGTGTGTACACATACATGGGTGGTACATGGGTGGTACATGTGTGTTCTGTGACGGCTGCGCCCTGCAGCCGTGTCTGCATGGTATGTACACATACATGGGTGGTACATGTGTGTTATGTGACAGCTGCGCCCTGAAGCCCGGCATGCACAGTGAGTACATGCATGTACATGTGATATGTGTGTGTTACATGGGTGTACATGTGATATATGGTTGGTACAGGCATGTTATGTGTGTGATGGCTGCGCCCTGCAACCCTGCATGCATGGTACATACACATACATGTGATACATGGTCGTTACATGGGTGTACATGCGTGTCTGGCGGCTGCACCCTGCAGCCGTGCATGCATGGTGAGTACATGGATGTACGTGTGATACATGGGTGTACATGTGAAACATGTGTTACATGGGTGTACATGTATGCTCATGTGTCTTAAATGTATGTACATGGGTGCCCTTGTGTTCAGTCCAGCACCATCTGGCATCTCTTTGGCTCTATTTGCTGCCACTTTAGTGCCATTTGGCCCTGTTCTGCCCCCTCCCCCAGCCCCGTTCACCCCCATTCCCCCCTTTTCTGCCCCGTTCACTCCTGATCCTCCCCGGTCACCCCAGTTCTGCCCATTCAACACCCCCCACCCCCCCCCCCCGGGCTCACCCCTCTTTGACCCCATTCACCCTCCGCTGTCCCCCCCCATTCAGGTTCCCCCCCAGGCTGGCAATACCGCTCCGTTCCCGTCCCTGTTCTCCTTTCCCGTTCCCTTCCCACCCCCCGCCCCCAGGCGGGCAGTGCCGCTCCGTTCCCGTTCCCTCTCCCGTTCCCCCGTTCACGTCCCCTTCCCCCCACCCGCCAGGCGGGCAATGCCGCTCCGTTCCCGTTCTCCTCCGTTCTTGTTCTTCCCCCGTTCCCGTCCCCGTCCCCCTTCTCCCCCGTTCTTCTTCTTCCCCCGTTCACGCCCCGTTTCCCTTCCCTCCCCCCCCCACCCGCCAGGCGGGCAGTGCCGCTCCGTTCCCGTTCCCTCTCCCGTTCCCCCGTTCACGTCCCCTTCCCCCCACCCGCCAGGCGGGCAGTGCCGCTCCGTTCCCGTTCCCTCTCCCGTTCCCCCGTTCACGTCCCCTTCCCCCCACCCGCCAGGCGGGCAATGCCGCTCCGTTCCCGTTCTCCTCCGTTCCCGTCCCCGTCCCCGTTCCCGTCCCCGTCCCCCTTCTCCCCCGTTCTTCTTCTTCCCCCGTTCACGCCCCGTTTCCCTTCCCTCCCCCCCCACCCGCCAGGCGGGCAGTGCCGCCCCGCTCCCTCCGGCGCCCCCCTGTGCCGCTGCCGCCCGGGGTTCCGCGGCCGCCGCTGCGAGCGCAACGTGGACGAGTGCAGCCCGAACCCGTGCGCCAACGGCGGCACGTGCCAGGACGGCGCCAACGCCTTCCACTGCGCATGCACGCTGGGCTACGGCGGCCGCCGCTGCCAGGAGCGCGCCGACGCCTGCGCCTCGGGGCCGTGCCGCCACGGCGCCACGTGCTACACGCACATCTCCGGGCACGTCTGCGCCTGCGCGCACGGCTACATGGGCGCGCTCTGCGAGGAGCCGGTGCCGGGGGCGCGCGGGCCGCGGGTGCCGCCCCCGCCCCCACCCCCACCCCCCCTCGTGCTCGCGCTCGCGCTCGCGCTCGGGTGCGCGCTGCCCGCGGCCGCGCTGGGGGCGGCGCTGGGGCTGGCGGCGTGCGGGAGGAGGAGGAGCAGGGGAGAGAGGTGAGGGGGGGGACGCGACTGTAGGGGTTTATGGGGGGTAGAGGTGAGGTGAGGGGGTAGGGGTTTATGGGGGCTCTTGGTGGGTATCTACGGAGAGGGTCTGTGGGGGGGTCAGTGGCTGCCTATGGGGGTCTAGGGGTCTCTGGGGGGTGTCTGTGGGGGACCTGTGGGTGCTATGGGGTGTTTGTCTCTGGGTGGCTATGGGATGTCTGTTGGGTCTGTGGGTCTCTATGGGGTGTCTGTGGGGGACCTATGGGTGCTATGGGGTGTTTATGGCGTGTCTGTGGGTGCCTGTGGGGTGGCTATGGGATGTCTATTGGGTCTGTGGGTCTCTATGGGGTCTCTAGGGGTCTCTATGGGGTGTCTGTGGGGTACCTATAGGTGCTGTGGGGTGTTTATGGGGTGGCTATGGGTGCTATGGGATGTCTCTTGGGTCTGTGCGTCTCTAGGGGGTCTCTAGGGGTCTCTATGGGGTGTCTGTGGGGTACCTATGGGTGCTATGGGGTGTTTATGGCGTGTCTATGGGTGTTTGTCTATGGGTGGCTGTGGGGTGGCTATGGGTTGTCTGTTGGGTCTGTGGGTCTCTATGGGGTCTCCAGGGTTCTCGGGGGGGTCTATGGGTGCTCACAGTGCCCTTTGCAGCCAGCGCACCCCACGGCCGGGGGGAGCCCCTGCGCTGAGCCCCCCGGGCAGGGAGCAGCGGATCCTGCCCCGGCCCTCGGCCACGCGGGTGAGCGCAGCGACCCCTCCACGGCCCCATCCCCCCCGCAATCCCATTCCTCCCCCTGCACCCCCATTCCCCCCCCCGCACCCCCATTCCTGCTCTCACCTCCCTGTTCCCCCCCAGGTGTGATCGGGCGCCGCTGGACCCACTCAGGAGCCCCCCAATGGATCCCCCCCATAATGGATCCCCCCCAATAAAAGCTCTTTGAGACGCGTCCGAGCCGCTCCCTGCGTGCGGGGGTCACGGGGGGGGGGGGGGGGGGGCGCGGAGGGGGGGGCGGAGCTGCGCTCGTCCGTTCGGCGCTCGATTGCTTGAGACTCACACCCGGCCTTGGGCGCTTGATGGACAGAGAGCGCAGCGAATCAGAGAAGGAGGGTGGAGCGAGCTATCCAATGGGCGGCGGTGCGGACCGAGGTGGGGACCGCGATGGGCGGGGCCTCGGTGCCGGCGGAGCGGCGGGAGCCATGAAGTGAGTGGCGGGGCCGGGGTTGGGGGGGGCGGAGCGGAGCCGGGGTGGGGGGGCGGATCCCGATGGATCCCGGTAGATCCCAATGGATCCCAATGGATCCGGGGCCTCCCCCGGTACCGGCGGCTCCGCAGGCTCAACGTGGACGGGCTCCTGGTGCCCTTCCCCTATGACTACATCTACCCCGAGCAGTTCTCCTACATGCTGGAGCTCAAGCGGACGCTGGACGCCAAGGTGGGGGGGATGGGGGGGGGGGGGGGGGGGGATCCGGTGGGATCCGTGCGATCCGGTGCCATCCGGTGCGATCCGGCAGGGTCACGGGGTGCTGGAGATGCCGTCGGGGACCGGGAAGACGGTGTCGCTGCTAGCCCTCATCGTCGCCTACCAACGGGTGAGCAACGGATCCCAACGGTTCCCCATGGATCCCGGTGGGTCCCAGTGATTCCAATTGATCCCAGCGATTCCCAATGAGTACCCGTGATCCCAGTGGGTCCCAGCAATTCCCAATGGATCCCAGTGATTCCAATGGATTGCGGTGGTTCCCAATGAATCCTAGCAATTCCCAGTGGACCCCAGTGATTCCCAATGGATCCCAGTGATTCCAATGGATTGCAGTGGTTCCCAATGAATCCTAGCAATTCCCAGTGGGCCCCAGTGATTCCCAGTGGATCCCAGTGATTCTAAATGGATCCCAACGGATCCCAATGATCCCAGTGGGTTGCAGTGGTTCCCAATGAATCCCAACCATTCCCAGTGGACCTCAGTGATTCCCAATGGATCCTAACGGATCCCAGTGATTCCAATGGATTGCAGTGGTTCCCAATGAATCCCAGCCATTCCCAATAGACCCCAGTGACTCCCAATGGACCCCAGTGGGTCCCAGCCCCCAATCTCCTCCCGCAGGCGCGGCCATCGGACATCACCAAACTGATTTACTGCTCCCGCACGGTGCCGGAGATCGAGAAGGTGGGATTGGGGGTGTGGGGGGGGGCAGATACCATCGGGAATGCCGCGGGGATCCCATGGGATGGCTCCGGGCCAGGTGGTGGAGGAGCTGCGGAAGCTGCTGGATTGCTACGAGAAGGAGCTGGGGGAGAAGCTGCCGTTCCTGGGGCTAGCGCTGAGCTCCAGGAAGAACCTGTGCATCCACCCGGAGGTGAGTGCCGGGATCCCACGGGATCCATCGGGTTTCCATTGGGAATGCAGCTGGATCTGCAGGGATCCATTTGGGATTCACTGTGATCCATCGTGACCCAATGGGATCTGCTGGGGGTCCGTCCAGATCCAATGGTTTTCCATCAGGATCTAATGGGATCTGCTGGGATCCATCGTGACCCAATGGGTTCCTGTTGGGATCCACTGGAACCTGCTGGGATCCATCGTGACCCAATGGGTTCCCGTTGGGATCCACTGGAACCTGTTGGGATCCATCGGGATCCAATGGGTTTCCAGTGGGATCCGTGGGGCTCTGCAGGTCTCGGCGCTGCGCTATGGGAAGGACGTCGACAGCCGCTGCATGGCCCTGACGGCACCGCACGTGCGGGCCCAGAGCGATGGCTCCCGGCCCCTCTGCAGCTTCTATGAGGTGGGGGGAGCAGCACCCAGGGGTCCATCCCCAGCACCCATGGGTGCCCCCCAACCACCCCTCGGTACCCCCTCCAGGACTGGGACACCCACGGGCGCTCCGTGCCCTTGCCCCACGGCATCTACAACCTGGACGAGCTGCGCGCCCTGGGCCGCCGCCGTGGCTGGTGCCCCTATTTCCTCGCCCGCTACTCGGTATGTGGGGTACTGTGGGGCGCTGTGGGGTGCTATGGGGCGCTTTGGGGCACTATGGGAGCTATGGGGGGTGTCAGGACTGGGGGGACGCGCTGGGTGCCTCCCAGGTGTCCCCATGGTCTGCCCCACAGATCCTGCACGCCAACGCAGTGGTTTACAGCTACCACTACCTGCTGGACCCCAAGGTGGCCGATGCCGTCTCCAAGGAGCTGGCCCGCAGGGCAGTGGTGGTGTTCGATGAGGCCCACAACATCGGTGAGGGGGGGTCCCTTGGGTGCCCCCAGGTCTCCCTCGCCCCACCCATGGGTGACAGTGTCTCGTCTCCCCCCCCCCATAGACAACGTCTGCATCGACGCCATGGGGGTCACCATCACGCGCCGCACACTCGACCGGTGCCAGAGCAACCTGGCGGCACTGCAGGACGGGGTGCAGAGGTGGGGGCACCCTCATTGACCCCCCCCACCCCGGCACCCATGGGTGCGCCCGGCTCCATGGGGGGCTCCCACCCAGCCATAAGTGGGTGCCCCCACACTTGGGTCCCCCCATCTTCATCCCCTTTGGGTCACCCCATTTCCCCTCCCCAGCCCATCTGGTTGCCCACTCCCCCCACCCATGGGTGCCCACTCCCCCCACCCATGGGTGCCCCCCTCACCCTTATGGGTGCCCCCCTCACCCCTATGGGTGCCCTCTCCCCCACATGGGTGCACCCCCTCTGCCATGGGTGCCCCCCCCCACCCATGGGTGCCCCCCTCACCGCTATGGGTGCCCCCCCCATGGGTGCTCCCCTCACTCCTATGGGTGCTACCCCCACCCATGGGTGCCCCCCTCATGCCTATGGGTGCCACCCCCACCCATGGGTGCCCCCCTCACCCCTATGGGTGCCCCCCCCATGGGTGCTCCCCTCACCCCTATGGGTGCCACCCCCACCCATGGGTGCCCCCCTCACGCCTATGGGTGCCCCCCAGGCTGCAGCAGGTAGATGAAGCCCGTCTGGCACAGGAATACAGGCGCCTCGTGCAGGGGCTGCGGGACCCCGAGCTCAGCCAGGGGGGACCTCTTCTGCCCGAGGACATGCCCACAGGTACCACAGCCCCATAGCACCCTATAGTACCCATAGACATCCCCCATAGCACCCACAGTGACCTATAGCACCCATAGACACCCACCCATAGTGACCCATAGCACCCCATAGACACCCCCATAGCACCCATATCAGTACGTAACACCCATAGGTCCCCATAAACACTCCCCGAAACACCCATAGTGACCCATAGCACCCCACAGGCACCTAGTACTCCGATTTATTCCAGAGGCGCGCCCATCACCCCCGATCCCAGTATTCCCATATATTCCAGTGTTTTTTCCGGGCTCCATCCTGGTGCTCCCTGATCCGTGCCCCTCATCCCATTCCCCCCCCCATTTCTGGTATTCCCGGTGCCCCCGGCCCCATTCCCGGTGCCCCCGGCAGAGGCTCTCCCGGGCTCCATCCGCTCCGCCCGCCACTTCCTGGGCTTCCTGCGCCGCTTCGTGGCCTTCCTGCGGACGCGGCTGCGGGGGGGGGGGGCCCTGCGCCAGGAGAGCGCCCCGGAATTCCTGCGGGAGCTGCGCCAGCTCGCCTGCATCGAGGCACGGCCCCTCCGGTGAGCGCCGAGCCCCTGGCTGCCACGGGGGTGTCACGTAGGGGGGTCACGTGTGTGCCACGTGTGTGTCATGTGTGTGCCGTGTGGGTGTCACGTGTGTGTCGTGTGTGGGTGTCACATGTGTGTCGTGTGTGTGTCACGTGGATGCCACGTGTGTGCCGTGTGTGTGTCACGTGTGTGCCACGTGTGTGCCACATGTGTCACGTGTGTGTCACGTGTGTGTCACATGTGTGTCGTGTGTGTCACGTGTGTGCCATGTGTGTGTCACGTGTGTGTCACGTGTGTGCCACGTGTGTGCCGTGCGTGTGCCACGTGCGTGTGCCACGTGCATGTGCCACGTTTGTGCCCTGTGTTTGTCCCATGTGTGTCCCATGGGTATCCCATGTGTATCCCATGTATCCTGTGTGTCCCCATGTGTCCCATGTGTCCCCATGTGTCCCATGTATCCCATGTGTCTTGTGTGTCCCCACGTGTCTCATGTGTCCCCATGTGTCCCATGTCTCCCCATGTGTCCCATGTATCCCCATGTTTGCCATGTATCCCATTTGTATCCTGCTGTATACTATGTATCCCATCTGTATCCTATGTGTTCCCATGTGTCCCATGTATTCCATATGTCATGTCCAAATCCTATGTGTTCCTATATCCCATGTCCATATCTCATGTCCCCTGTCCCATATCCATGTGTCCATATTTCATATCCTGTCCCATATTTCTGTGTTCATATTCCGTATCCATGTCCCATATCCATGTGTCCATATCCTATATTCATGTTCTATATCCATGTCCCGTAGCCATGTGTCCCTGTCCCATAGCCTTGTCCCATATCCATGTGTCCATATCCCATGTCCATATCCTATATGCATGTCCTCTATCCATGTCCCGTAGCCATGTGTCCCTATCCCCTGTCCCATATCCATGCCCTGTGTCGATGTGTCCCTATCCTGTATCCATGTTCCTGTCCCGTATCCATGTCCCTTATCCCTGTGTCCATGTCCTGTATCCATGTCCCATATTCTGTATCTATGTCCCTATCCCATATCCATGTACGCATGTCCCTATCCTGTATCCATGTCCCATATCCCATATCCCTATCCCATATCCCTATCCCATGTCCCATATCCCTATCCCATATCCCTGTATCCCTGTCCCATATCCCTATCCCATATCCCTGTCTCCATGTCCCATATCCCTATCCCATATCTCATATCCCTGTATCCATGTCCCATATCCCTATCCCATATCCCTGTATCCATGTCCCATATCCCATATCCCTGTCTCCGTGTCCCATATCCCTATCCCATATCCCTGTATCCATGTCCCGTATCCCTATCCCATATCCCTGTATCCATGTCCCATATCCCTATCCCATATCCCTGTATCCATATCCCATATCCCTATCCCATATCCCTGTATCCATATCTCATATCCCTATCCCATATCCCATATCCCTGTCCCATATCCCTGTATCCATGTCCCATATCCCTGTATCCATGTCCTATATCCCTATCCCCTATCCCTGTATCCCTGTCCCATATCCCATATCCCTATCCCATATCCCATATCCCTATCCCATATCCCTGTATCCATGTCCCATATCCCTATCCCATATCCCTGTATCCATATCCCATATCCCTATCCCATATCCCTGTCTCCATGTCCCATATCCCTATCCCATATCCCTGTATCCATATCCCATATCCCTATCCCATATCCCTGTATCCATGTCCCCTATCCCATATCCCATATCCCTGTCTCCATGTCCCATATCCCTGTCCCATACCCCGTATCCCCGTGTCCGTGGCAGGTTCTGCTCGGAGCGGCTCCGCTCCCTGCTCCGCACCCTGGAGGTCCTGGATGTGTCCGAGTTCAGCCCCATCTCGCTCGTGGCCAACTTCGGCTCCCTCGTGAGCACCTACTCCAAAGGTGGGCGCCTGGGATAGCGCCTATTATGGGATAGTATGGGATATATGGGGTGTTGTGGGATTTATGGGATAGTATGGGGTATTATGGGATATTATGGGATATGTAGAGTCTTATGGGATAATATGGGGTATGGGATACGCAATATTAGGGGATATATGGGGTATTATGGGATATGTGGTATGGATATGGATATTGGATTTGGGATATGCTGCAGAGCACCCATGGGTGCTGTGACCCACCCCCAGGCTTCACCATCATCATCGAGCCCTTTGATGACCGAACCCCAACCATCAGCAACCCCGTCCTGCACTTCAGGTGGGACCTGGGACACGTGGGATATGGGATGTGGGGTATGGGGTATGGGATGTGGGGTATGGGATAGGGGGTGTGGGTATGGGATATGGGGTGTGGGGTATGGGATATGGGATGTGGGTATGGGATATGGGGTGTGAGGTATGGGATATAGGATATGGGGTATGGGATATGGGGTATGGGGTATTGTGTATGGGGGTTCATTGTTCTCCTGCCCCCCCCCAGCTGTCTCGACGCCTCCATCGCCATCAAACCCATCTTTGAGCGCTTCCAGTCCGTCATCATCACCTCAGGGGTGAGCCCAGCTCCATAGCACTGCCCCACAGCACTGCCCTATAGCCCAGCCCCATAACCCCATCCCGCCCCCAGACTCTCTCCCCACTGGACATGTATCCCAAAATCCTGGATTTCCGCCCCGTTACCATGGCGACATTCAGCATGACGCTGGCCCGGACTTGCCTCTGCCCCATGGTGAGATGGGCGGGGGGGGGGGGGGGCTCTTGTGGGGCTGGGGTGGAGGGGGGGATCCCATTGTCCCAGTGTCAGCAGTGTGTGTGTGTGTGTGTGTCCTCCCCCATAGATCGTGGGGCGCGGCAATGACCAGGTTGCCATCACCTCCAAGTTTGAGACACGGGAAGATATCGGTATGGGCCAGCTGTGGGGCGGGGTGGCATGGTTGTGGGGCTGGGGAGCCCATGGGCATGGTTATGGGGGATGGGGCCAAGGTTCTGGGGCTGGGGGCATGGTTCTGGGGCTGGGGAGCCCACGGACATGGTTCTGGGGCTGGGGGCATGGTTATGGGGCTGGGGATAGGGGTCTGGGGACAAGGTTCTGGGGCTGGGGAGCCCATGGGCACAGTTCTGGGGCTGCTGTGCTCCGAGCTATGGGGCTGTGAGGAACGGGGTCAGGTTCTGGGGCTGGGGCTGCCCCACAGCTCCCCCTGCCCCACATCGCCCCCAGCGGTGATCCGGAACCTGGGCAACCTCCTCCTGGAGCTCTCGGCTGTGGTCCCTGACGGCATCGTGGCCTTCTTCACCAGTTACCAGTACCTGGAGAGCACCGTGGCTGCCTGGTACGAGCAGGTGAGAGGGACCCCAAGGACCCCATTGGGCCCCATTGAACCCCTTTCGGTCCATGTTGACCCCCACTGGGTCACCACTGACCTCCATTGGGTCCCCATTGTGCTCCCATTGCGCCCCCATGGTGTCCTCATTGTGTCCCCATTGACCTCACTGACCCCATGATGTCCCCATTGTCCCCCCGCCCCACTCAGGGCATCCTGGAGAACATCCAACGGAACAAACTCATCTTCATCGAGACCCAGGATGGGGCCGAGACCAGCATGGCCCTGGAGAAGTACCAGGAGGTGCGGGGGGGAGCAGGGGGTTCCCCTTGACCCCATTGCTCCCCATTGACCCCATTAACTCCCCATTTACCCCATTGACCCCCCATTGCCCCATTGACCCCATTAACCCCATTGCCCCCCACTGATCCCATTGCCCCCATTGACCCCCTTCATCCCCATTGACCCAATTGCCCCCATTGCTCCCCATTGACCCCCATTGCCCCCCTTTAACCCATATTGATCTCATTGCTCCCCATTGCTCCCATTGCCCCAATGTCCCCATTGCCCCTCATTGCCTCCCATTGACCCCCATTGCCTCTCATTGACCCACGGCTCCGCAGGCCTGTGAGTGCGGCCGTGGGGCTGTTCTGCTCTCAGTGGCGCGAGGGAAGGTGTCCGAAGGGGTCGACTTTGGTGAGAGGGGATGGGGGCAGATGTGGGGAAATGGGGGGAGATGTGGGGCAGATGTGGGGCAGATGTGGGGCACCATGGGGTGGGGGGTGCTGAAGCCCCACCACCACGCCCCGTGCATCTCCTACCCCCCAAGTGCATCACTACGGCCGCGCCGTGATCATGTTCGGGGTGCCCTACGTGTACACCCAGAGCCGCATCCTCAAAGTGAGTGTGGGCAGAGGGGGAGGGGTGCTGTGGGTCCCACTATGGGGCAGTCCCACAAGTGCCCTGCCCCCCGCCAGGCACGCCTGGAGTTCCTGCGGGATCGGTTCCAGCTGCGGGAGAACGAGTTCCTGGCCTTTGACGCCATGCGCCACGCAGCCCAATGTGTGGGGCGGGCGCTGCGGGGCAAGAGCGACTACGGCATCATGGTGTTCGCCGACAAGGTGGGGCTGGGTGGGTGCTATGGGTTGCTGTGGGTCACTGTGGGGCGCTATGAGTCACTGTGGGTTACTGTGGATCACTGTGGGTTGCTGTGGGTCACTATGGGTTGCTATGGGTCACTGTGCGTCACTGTGGCTCACTATGGGTCGCTATGTGTCACTATGGGTCTCTATGGGTCACTGTGGAGCACTGTGGGGGCACTGTGGGTCGCTGTGGGTCTCTGTGCGTTTCTGTGGGTTGCTATGGGTCTCTATGGGTTGCTATGGGTCTCTATGGGTCCCTATGGGTCTCTGTGGCTCAGCTGTGCTGTGCCCCCCCTGCAGCGCTATGCACGCCCCGACCGCCGCGGGAAGCTCCCGCGCTGGATCCAGGAGCGGATCCCGGATTCCAGCCTCAACCTCACGGTGGACGAGGCCGTGCAGGTGGCAAAGGGGTTCCTGCGTGCCATGGCCCAGCCCTTCCGCCAGGTACTCCCTGGGAGCATGGTACAGCCTGGTACCGCTATGGTACAGTCTGGCACCCCTATGGTACCGCTATGGTACAGCCCGGCACACCCATGGTACCGCTATGGTACAGCCCGGCACCCCCATGGTACCGCTATGGTACAGCCCGGCACACCCATGGTACCTCTATGGTACAGCCCGGCACACCCATGGTACCGCTATGGTACAGCCCGGCACCCCCATGGTACCGGTATGGTACAGCCCGGCACACCCATGGTACCGCTATGGTACAGCCCGGCACCCCCATGGTACCGCTATGGTACAGCCCAGCACCCCCATGGTACCGCTATGGTACAGCCCGGCACCCCCATGGTACCGCTATGGTACAGCCCAGCACCCCCATGGTACCGCTATGGTACCTTGGCCCAGCTCCTCCTGCAGGTACCGTACCACCCCCCCGGGCAACATGGTACAGCCCAGGACCCCCCATGGTACCCACATGGTATCCCCCCGGCACCCCTATGGTACCGCTAATGTACTGCACATGACAAACACGTGTCACTCGCACATGTCACATACATCACACGTGTCACAATCATGTCACATACATCCCACATGTCACGTACATGTCACATACATGTCATATACGTGTCACACACGTGTCACACACGTGTCTGTGCCCCCCCAGGAGGACCAGCTGGGTCTGTCCCTGCTCACCGTGGAGCAGCTCCAGTCCCGGGAGGTTCTGCAGCGCCTCGAGCAGGGGGTGCAGCAGCTCTGACCCTCCCCTGCACCCCCAGCACCCAGGAGGGGCCTGGACCCCCCCTTGACGTGCTATGGGGGGGACCTGGAGCCCCCCAAGGCACTGCGGAGGGGGCGTCCAGATCTCTCCCTGTGCTCAAGGTGGGATCTGGGACCCTCCCCACCCATTTTTGTACAACCCCTAATAAACCAGGACCCCCCCCATGGCTGCACCCCCCCAAGTCACTGCCGGGACCCCCCCCCAAATGCCAAGGTCACCCCTGCCCCACACATTTGGGGTGCTCCCGTCCCACTTTAGGCTAGCTCCAATGGGTGCTGGGAGGCTTCAGGGGGGTCTCTATGGGTGCTTCCTCCACCCATGGGGGCCCCTTGCTTGTCGCCCATCCCAGGCCCCCCCACCGGACCCACACCCCACCTGCCCCGCCCCCGACATTGGATCTGACTGTAACCGGATCGGGCCTAAAAATACCTGGGGGGGGGGGCTCTTGAATTGCCCTGAGCCAGCGGATCTGTGACCCCCCCAGTGCCCCCAACCCACAGCGCCCCATAGGGGGGTCCTAAACCCCCCCTAGTGCCCCATAACCAGGTTCTGCCTCACCCTCCCAGTGCCCCATCGGGGGATCCTGCACCCCCCAGTGCCCCATAAGCAGGTTCTGCCCCCCACCCCATAGGGGTGTCCTGCACACCCCAGTGCCCCATAACCAGGTTCTGCCCCCCTCCCCAGTGCCCCATAGGGGGGTCCTAACCCCCCCCAGTGCTCCATAAGCAGGTTCTGCCCCCTCCCTCAGTGCCCCATAGGGGGGTCCTGCACACGCAGTGCCCCATAACCAGGTTCTGCCCGTCCCCCCAGTGCCCCATAGGGGGGGTTCTGTACCCCCCAGCACCCCCATATCTGGATGCCCTCCCCTATATGCATCTCCCCCCCCCATAGCTGGGTGCAATCTGGATGCAATCTGGATGCCCTCCCCTATATGCATCTCCCCAGCACCCCATATGTGGGTGCAACCCCCCATATCTGGGTCCCCCTTTCCTGACACCCCCATAGCTGGGTGACCCCCCCATCACCCTATATTGGGGTCCCCATGTGGTTGCCCCCACCCCCTATAATGGGTGCCCCCCCATTCATGGGGGTCACCGGGGGGGGGTTATCCCTGTGGCAGGTGCCGGGCCCGGCGCCCACCGGACACCGGACACCGGAGGGGGCGGCTCCGGGTGGGGAGGGTGGGGGGCCCGGTGGGGGGGGGTCTCGCGGTGCCCCTGGACAGCGGCGGCAGCGCCCGGTCCGGAGCCCCCCCCGGGACCCCCTGCGCTGGGAGGAGCCGGGGGCGCCCATAAGAGCCGGGCCCGGAGCCGCTGCCGCCGCCTGCGCCCCCCCGGTACCGGCCCGACCCGACCCGATCCGCGCCACTCAAGGTAACCCCGGACACACGGGGACAGACATCCCCCCCCCCCCATGGACACCCCCCACCCCACCGGCACCCCGCTATGGACCCCTCCATTGACACCAACGGGGACCGGAGCCCCTCCGGTACCACCGGGACCCCCCCCGAACCGGGACTCCCTGAACCAGGATCGGTCCCCGGTGCCCCCCCGCCCCTCCATAAATAACCCCGGCCACGCCCCCCACGGAGACCACGCTTATTTGGGCAAGCCCCGCCCCTTCCCAGTGTGGCCCCGCCCACCGCGCTAAGCCCCTCCCAGTGAGTGGGTTCGGGGGAGCTCCCTGGGTCCTAGTGCCGGGACGCGCTGCCCCACTGCGCCCCATGATGCGGAGGCGTTGGCCCCGCTTGCCCCATGGCCGCCGCCTCGCCCCGCAGCCGCCGCGATGCCGTTCAGCAACACCCACAACAAGTACAAGCTCAAGTTCTCGGCCGAGGAGGAGTTCCCCGACCTCTCCAAGCACAACAACCACATGGCCAAGGTGCTCACCCCGGCGCTCTACCAGCGCCTGCGGGAGAAGGAGACCCCCAGCGGCTTCACTCTGGACGATGCCATCCAGACCGGCGTCGACAACCCCGGTGGGTGACACCGCTGGGCTCCCAGTGCTTGTGGGAGCAGCACTGCCCGCCCGCACTGGGTCCTGGCGCCGCATCCCGGTGCCACACTGGGTCCTAGCGCCGCATCAAGGTGCCATGCTGGGTCTTAGTGCCTATCCCGCTGGCGCACTGGGTCCTAATGCCCATCCCGTGGCCGCATTGGGTCTTAGTGCCCGTCCTGGTGCCGCACTGGGTCCTAGTGCCCATCCCGTGGCCGCACTGGGTCCTGGTGCCCACCCTGATGCCGCACTGGGTCCTAGTGCCCATCCTCGTGCCGCACTGACCCTTGGTGCCCCGTCTCTGTGCCACACTGAGTCCTAATGCCCCATCCTGGTGCCGCACTGGGTCCTGATGCCCGTCCCGGTGCTGCACTGGGTCCTAGTGCCCCGTCCTGGTGCCGCACTGGGTCCTGGTGCCCATCCCGGTGCCGCACTGGGCCTTGGTGCCACGTCCTGGTGCCGCACTGGGTCCTAGTGCCCATTCCGGTGCTACCCTGGGCCCTGGTGCCCCATCCCGCTGCCGCACTGGGTCCTGGTGCCCACCCTGATGCCGCACTGGGTCCTAGTGCCCATCCTCGTGCCGCACTGACCCTTGGTGCCCCGTCTCTGTGCCACACTGGGTCCTAATGCCCCATCCTGGTGCCGCACTGGGTCCTGGTGCCCCGTCTCTGTGCCACACTGGGTCCTAATGCCCCATCCAGGTGCCGCACTGGGTCCTGGTGCCCCGTCCCTGTGCCACACTGGGTCCTAGGGCCCCATCCTGGTGCCGCACTGTGTCCTAGTGCCCCGTTCCGGTCCACACTGGGTCCTAGTGCCCATCCTCGTGCCGCACCTGGGTCCTGGTGTCCCGTTCCGGGCAGCACTGGGTCTTAGTGCCCCGTCCAGGTGCCCCACTGCCCTAGTGCCCAACCCGCTCCCTCACTGCTCCGTTGCCCGCAGGCCACCCGTTCATCATGACCGTGGGCTGCGTGGCGGGGGACGAGGAGTCGTACGAGGTGTTCAAGGAGCTCTTTGATCCGGTGATCCAGGACCGCCACGGCGGCTACAAACCCACCGACAAGCATCGCACCGACCTCAACCACGAGAACCTCAAGGTGGGGGGGCGGGGTCACCGGGGATGGGGGTGCCAATGGGAGCAATGGGGGGGGGGGGAATTGGGGGGCTGTGGGGCTAAGAATCATTTGGGGTCCCGTTAGGGATGGGGGTTTCCATGGGATCGCGGGGATATTTGGGGCTGGGGTGGGAGGTTAGGGGCTTTGGGGAAGTTATAGGGGATATGTGTGGGTCTAAGGGGGTGTCTCTATGGGGGGCTATGGGGCCGCCCCGATGTGGGTCTGACGGGAGCTGTGGGGCAGGGCGGGGAGGACCTGGACCCCAAGTACGTGCTCAGCAGCCGCGTGCGGACCGGCCGCAGCATCCGCGGGTACTCGCTGCCCCCCCACTGCAGCCGCGGGGAGCGCCGCGCCATCGAGAAGCTGTCTGTCAACGGTGAGGGGCGGGGCCTGAACCGGGGGCGTGGCTTATTTTTGAGGGGCGTAGTTTATTGATAAGGGCTGTGGTTTATTGATAAGGGATCGTGCCTTGTGCGTATGGGGGTGCATTACGGATAAGGAGCTCAGCTTAACGCTATGGGGGGCGTGGCTTCTGTACAAAAGGGGCGTGGATTACGTGTAAGGGGCGTGGCTTGTGCCTGTCGAGCCAGGCGATGCTGCTGATTGGGGGCGTGTTTTGACTCAGTGGGGGGCGTGGCTGGGCTCCACGTGCGCGTGGCTTGCCCCTTTGTGGGAGGGGCTTCTCCGGTTGTGGGCGTGGCTTGACGCTTTGTGGGCGCGGTTCGGCTCCATATGGGGGCGGCTTGCCTCGGTGTGCACGTGCCTCGATTCAACGTGGGCGTGGCTTGCCTTGAAGTGGGCGTGGCTTGCCCCCTCCGCCCGTGACCTCCCGCTTCGGTGTCCCGCAGCGCTCAACAGCCTGGAGGGGGAGTTCCGGGGGCGGTACTACCCCCTGCGCGCCATGACGGAGCAGGAGCAGCAGCAGCTCATCGACGACCACTTCCTCTTCGACAAACCCGTGTCCCCGCTGCTGCTCGCCTCGGGCATGGCCCGCGACTGGCCCGATGCACGTGGCATCTGGTGCGGAGGGACCGGGTTTGGGGGGGCACCCATGGGTGGGGATCAATGGGTCCCCATGGGTGGGGTTCAATGGGCACCCATGGGTTGGGTTCAGTGGGCACCCATGGGTGGGGTTTAATGGGCACCCATGGATTGGGTACAATGGGCATCCCCATAGGGCAGGGACCCGGAGGGTGGCACCCATGGATTGTGTTCAATGGTCTCCATTGGCACCCATGCGCTGGGGCTGAGGTGGGTGCTGTGCCCCATAGGCACAATGACAACAAGACCTTCCTGGTGTGGGTGAACGAGGAGGATCACCTGCGTGTCATCTCCATGGAGAAGGGGGGCAACATGAAGGAGGTGTTCCGGCGCTTCTGTGTCGGCCTCAAGAAGGTGGGATGGGACGAGGGGGTGGGATATAGGGAATGGTTATGGGGTGTGGGGTATGGGGTATGGGATGTGGGGTATGGGGTGTGGGATGTGGGGTATGGGATATGGGGTATGGGATATGGGATATGGGGTATGGGATGTGGGGTATGGGGTATGGGATATGGGGTATGGGGTGTGGGATGTGGGGTATGGGATATGGGGTATGGGATATGGGGTATGGGGTGTGGGATGTGGGGTATGGGATATGGGGTATGGGGTGTGGGATGTGGGGTATGGGATATGGGGTATGGGGTGTGGGATATGGGGTTTGGGGGGTTTGGGGTTCCATTGTTTAGTGTTCCTTGCGGGGTGTCCCATGTTGAGCGTCTCCATTGGGTTCCCCATTGGGTGCTCCATTGACTGCTCCACTGGGTGCTCCATGGGTGCCCCATTGGGTGCCATTGGTGCCGATGCATCCCTTTGTGTGCCCGCAGATCGAGGAGATCTTCAAGGCTGCCGGGCATCCGTTCATGTGGAACGAGCACCTGGGCTACATCCTGACGTGCCCGTCCAACCTGGGCACGGGGCTGCGCGGCGGCGTCCATGTGCGCCTGCCCAACCTCAGCCAGCACCCAAAGTTCGAGGAGATCCTCACGCGCCTGCGCCTCCAGAAGCGTGGCACAGGTTGGGGGGCATCAGCGTGGGAGGGATGGGAGTGGGATGTGGGGAATGGGATGTGGGATGCAAGGATATGGGGTATGGGATATGGGGTATGGGATGTGGGGATATTGGATACAGGGATATGGGGTACGGGATATGGGGTATGGGATGTGGGATGTGGGGATATTGGATACAGGGATATGGGGTACGGGATATGGGGTATGAATATGGGATGTGGGGTAGGGGGTATGGGATTGTGGGATATGGGGTATGGGATGTGGGATGTGGGGATATTGGATACAGGGATATGGGGTATGGGATATGGGGTATGAATATGGGATGTAGGGTATGGGATTTGGGATGTGGGGATATTGGATACAGGGATATGGGGTATGGGATATGGGGTATGAATATGGATGTAGGGTATGGGATGTGGGATATGGGGTATGGGATTTGGGATATGGGATGTAGGGTATGGGATATGAGATAGGGAATTTGGGATGTGGGATATGGGGTATGGGATGTGGGATATTGGATATGGGAATATGGGGCATGGGATATAGGATGTGGGGATATGGGATTTGGGATGCAGGATATGGCATATGGGATAGGGAATATGGGATGTGGGATATAGGGTGTGGGATATGGGGTATGGGATGTGGGATACGGGTATTGGATATGGGGATATGGGGTATGGGATATAGGATATTGGATATGGGGATATGGGATGTAGGATATGGGATGAGAGATATGGGTACACGTGCTCTAGCAGAAGGTGCCGCTGGCCCCTGGCTGAAACTGGTCCAAACCCTTCCATGAGCCCCTGGCTCTGTGCCCTGGGCTAACATGCGTTAACATGCCCTGACACGCATTAACACACACTGACACACATTAACACGCGTGCGGTGCCGTGCACAGGCGGGGTGGACACCGCGGCCGTGGGCGCCGTGTTCGACATCTCCAACGCCGACCGCTTGGGCTTCTCGGAGGTGGAGCAGGTGCAGATGGTGGTGGACGGCGTCAAGCTCATGGTGGAGATGGAGAAGAAGCTGGAGCAGAAGCAGTCGATCGACTCCATGATCCCTGCCCAGAAGTGAGGGCACCCGCGCCCGCCTATGGGGCTCCAACAGCGCCCATGGGTGCTCAACGCCAGCTATGGGTGTCCCAGGCTCACCTATGGGGCTCCAGCGCCACCTATGGGTGCTCAACGCCACCTATGGGTGCACCAAACCAACCTACGGGCACCCCAAACCCACCCATGGGTGCCCCAAACCCATCCATAGGTGCCCCAGAACCATCTATGGACACCCTGAACCCACCCATAAGCACCCAGCAAGGCCCAGCCTCAATAAACGCTGCTGGTCCCCACCGTGACCCAGTGTCCAGCATCCAAATACTGGGGTGTAGAGGGGCACCCAAAGGGCAGGGACCCACTTTGGGGGTGCTGGTGCTGGGGTATAGAAAGAGGGGGGTGACCCCAAGGTGGGGCACCCGTGGGGGGTCCTGATGCTGATGAATGCTGATGGGTACCAGTGGGTGCTGATGGGTACCAGTGGATACTGGTAGTGGGTGCTGACGGGTACCTGTGGGTACTGATAGGTGCTGATGGGTACCAATGGATGCTGATGGGTACCAATGGGTGCTGCAGACACCAGGGTTCCTATGTTTATTTGGGGGATTCGGGATCCAGACCAGGGCAGGAATAACTTAAAAATGGGGAGGACACGGGGGAGGGGACACAGGGGGGACACGGGGCGGTCCCAGGGCCCCTATTTACAGATGTACAGGGAGGGGGGCACAGGGGGGGCCCCCAAAGGTGGGTGCTGGGGGGCCCCCAAAGGGCTGGAGCTGCTGGTCCCTGGGGGGGGGGGGGGGGGCTGGAGCTGGGACCCCCCCGAAGTCCCCAAGGGCCCCCCAGGCCTGCGGCAGCAGGGGGGACCCCAAAGCTGCGGCATCCCCTGGGATGGAGCCAGGACACCCATGGGTGGGGGGGGTCCCAGCTCCGTTATGGCCCCAGAGCACCTATGGGGGCAGGGTCCCACCTCATTCCCCCATTGGGATGCAGCATCCAACTGGGGGGGTCCCAGCTCCATTATGGCCCCAGAGCAACCGTGACGGGGGGTCCCACATCCGGGTGCAGCCCCACTGGGGGGGGGTGGTCCCAGCTCCATCATGGCCCCATTGCACCACGGGGGGGCCCAGAGCCGCAGCCCCACGGGGGGTCCCGGCCCCACGGGGGGTCCCTAGAGCTGGAGGCCGGGCAGGGGCAGGCGCCGGGCGCTCGGCAGCAGCAGCAGCGGCCCCGGGGCCGGGAGGCGCCGGCCCGGCCCGGTCACAGCGCGGGGGCCTCGGGGCAGCCGGGGGGGGGCTTCCGCTTGATCCCAAGGTAGATGGCAACTGGGGGGGGCGGCAAGAGAAGGGGTATGGGAGGGGGCACCCATGGGGGGCACCCATATTGGAGTGGGCACCCAGGAATGGGATATGGGACCCATGGGGGGGCACCCAGGGGTGGGATATGGGACCCATGCGGGGGCAGCTGGGGGTGGGATATGGGACCCATGGGGGTACCCATAGGGGGGAATGAGCACCCATACACCATACAGGGGGGCGCCCAGGGGTGGGATACAGGACCCATGGGGGTGCACCCATAGGGGGCAATGAGCTCCCATGGGGGGGGCACGCGGGGGCAAAATATGGGACCCACGGGGTACCCATAGAAGGGGAATGAGCACTCATACGGGGGGGCAGGGGTGGGATATGGGACCCACTGGGGCGGGCACCCAGGGGTGGGACACAGGACCCATGGGGCGGGCACCCAGGGGTGGGACCAGCGACCCCATGGTGGGGGGCAGCACCCACCTTGTGAGCGCAGGTCCCCCGATTCTCTCAGGTTCGTCTGCGACCCTGGGGGGGAACACACGTGTTGGGAGGGGGAGGACATTTGGGGGGGGGCACGAGTGGGACCCCAAATCCCCCCCCCCCCCCGAGACCAGCAAAGGGTGGAAGGAAGAAAGAGAGAAGGGGGAGTAGCCAAGCAAGGGGGCACTGGGAGGGGGACACTGGGAGGTGCATGGGTGCCATTGGTGGCATCGGGGGTACCGCTGTCACTGGTGCCATTGGTGCCACTGTGGCACTGGGATGGGCACGGGTGCTATTGATGGCACTGGTGCCATTGGTGCCATTGTGGCACTGGGATGGGCACGGGTGCCATTGGTGATACCAGTGTCATTGGGATGGGCGCTCGTGCCATTGGTAGCACTGGGGGCACCGGTGCCATTGGTGGCACTGGTGCCAATGGTGCCATTGGTGTCATTGGTGGCACCGGTGCCATTGGTGGCATTGGTGCCACTGGTGGCACCAGTGTCAGTGGTGCCATTGGCAGCACCTGGCACTTACTGATCTTGGCTCCTGGCGTCGAGGGGGGCCCCGAGACGCAGCGGTTGGAGCTCTGGCGCTTGGAGGGGTCAAGAGTGACCCTGGAAGAGAAGAGGAGGAGCAGGAGAGGAGGAGGAGGAGGAAGAAGCAGAGGAGATGGAGATGGGAATTACAAGGAGGAGGAGGACAGGGAGGTGAGGAGGAGGAGGAGATGAGGATGGAGATGCTGCTGGTGGTGCTCTGGGCGCTGTGTTCATGGGTGCTGTGTCCAATGATGCTGTATCGATGGGTGCTGTCGTGTCTGTGGGTACTGTGTCTGTGGGTGTTGTGTCCATAGGTGCTGTGTGCCTATGGGTGCTGTCTCTATGGGCACTGTGTGTCTGTAGGTGCTGTGTCTCTATGGGTGCTTTCTCTATGGGCGCTGTCTCTATGGGCGCTACGGGTGCTGTCTATAGGCGCTGTCTCTATGGGTGCTGTGTCTCTATGGGTGCTGCTGTCCATGGGTGCTGTGTGTCCATGGGTGCTATCTCTATGGGTGCTATCCCTATGAGTGCTGTTCATGGGTGCTGTCTCTATGGGTGCTGTCCACGGGTGCTGTCTCTATGGGTGCTGTCCATGGGTGCTATCTATGGGTGCTGTCTATGGGTGCTATCTCTATGGGTGCTGTCCATAGGTGCTGTCTCTATGGGTGCTGTGTGTCCATGGGTGCTATCTCTATGGGTGCTGTCTCTATGGGTGCTGTGTGTCCATGGGTGCTACCTCTATGGGCGCTATCTCTATGGGTGCTGTCTATGGGTGCTATCCATGGGTGCTATCCATGGGTGCTATCTATGGGTGCTGTGTGTCCATGGGTGCTATCTCTATGGGTGCTGTCTCTATGGGTGCTGTGTGTCCATGGGTGCTACCTCTATGGGCGCTATCTCTATGGGTGCTGTCTATGGGTGCTATCTCTATGGGTGCTGTCCATGGGTGCTATCTATAGGTGCTGTCTCTATGGGTGCTGTGTGTCCATGGGTGCTACCTCTATGGGCGCTATCTCTATGGGTGCTGTCTATGGGTGCTATCTCTATGGGTGCTGTCCATGGGTGCTATCTATAGGTGCTGTCCTCTATGGGTGCTGTGTGTCCATGGGTGCTATCTCTATGGGTGCTGTCTCTATGGGTGCTGTGTGTCCATGGGTGCTACCTCTATGGGCGCTATCTCTATGGGTGCTGTCTATGGGTGCTATCTCTATGGGTGCTGCCCATGGGTGCTATCCATGGGTGCTATTCTATGGGTGCGGCGTCTACGGGCGCTGTTGAGGGGTGCTGCCGCGGGGGGGCGCCACTGACCTCCGGCTCAGCTTGGACGTGATCTTGCTGAGGAGGCTTCCGGGGGCGCGGGCGCGGCCGGGGGCGGGGGGGGGGGGCAGCGGCGCGGGCTCGGCGGGGGGGGGCGCCGCGGGCGCGCGCCGGTCCCGCACGTGACCGCCGTGGAACGTGCTGCGGGCGGCGGAGCCCCGCGCCAGGCGCGAGCCCCCCCCCGCGCCCCCCCCCCCCCGCCAGGCTCTGGCTCGAAGGCGACGGAGGCGGCCCCCGCCCGGGGGCGGAGCTAAAGGAGAGGGGGGGGGGGGGGGGAGGGGGGGGGTTAAATACGGCCTTGGGGGGGAGGGGGGGGCACACGGGAGGGGCACAAGGGGGTTCACAGGGGGGCTCCCGGGGGGGTTACATGGGGGGGCACAAGGGGGGGTCCCAAGGGGGGTCCCGGGGGGGTTACACGGGGGGGGTCACAAGGAGGGTCACAGGGGGGCTCCCGGGGGGGGGTTACATGGGGGGGTCACAAGGAGGGGGTCATAAGGGGGGTCCCGGGGGGGTTACACGGGGGGGGTCACAAGGGGGCTCCCGGGGGGGGTCACAAGGAGGGTCACAGGGGGGCTCTCGGGGGGGGTTACATGGGGGGTCACAAGGGGGGGGTTACACGGGGGGGGGGTCATAAGGGGGGTCCCCGGGGGGTTACATGGGGGGTCACAAGGGGGGTCACAGGGGGGGTTACAGGGGGGGTCACACGGGAGGGGTCACAAGGGGGGCTCCCGGGGGGGTTACATGGGGGTCACAAGGGGGGGGTCATAAGGGGGGTCCCGGGGGGGGGTCACAAGGGGGCTCCCGGGGGGGGGTTACATGGGGGGTCACAAGGGAGGGGTCACAAGGGGGCTCCCGGGGGGGGTTACATGGCGGGGGTCACAAGGAGGGTCACAGGGGGCTCCCGGGGTGGGGGTTACATGGGGGGTCACAAGGGAGTGGTCACAAGGGGGCTCCCGGGGGGGTTACATGGGGGGGTCACAAGGAGGGTCACAGGGGGGCTCCCGGGGCGGGGGTTACATGGGGGGGTCACAGGGGGGCTCTCGGGGGGGGGTTACATGGGGGGTCACACGGTGGGGGTGGTCACAAGGAGGGTCACAGGGGGGGCTCCCGGGGCGGGGGGTTACATGGGGGGGTCACACGGGGGGGGGGGGGGGGGGCACAAGGAGGGTCACAGGGGGGTCACACGGGGGGGCCATACCTGTTCTCTTTGCCGTTGGGCAGCAGCGGGCCCCGCTCCGGGCGCTCTGTGCACACGTAGGTGTTGCGCCGCCCCATCACGCTCGAGGGCACGTTGGGCTGCGGGGGGGGGGGGGGGGGCGCCAAGGTGTCACCCCACACACAGAGACCCCCCAGCAGCCACAGGAGCTCCCCCAGCACTCATAGATCACCCCATCACCCACAGGTTCCCCCCCATCACCCACAGGTACCCTCCAGGAGCCCCATCACCCATAGATCCCCCACCAGCACTCACAGGTGCCCCACATCACCAATAGGGTCCCCTCTATCACCCACAGGAGCCCCCAGTACCAATAGGTAACCCCCAGGACCATCCCAGCACCAATAGGTTCCCCCCATCACCCATAGGGTCCCCTCTATCACCCACAGGAGCCCCCCAGCACCAATAGGTAACCCCCAGGACCATCCCAGCACCCATAGGTTCCCCCCCATCACCCACAGGTGACCCCCAGGACCCCCACTGTCACCCACAGATCCCCTCCCATCACCAATAGACTGCCCTCCATCACTCCCCCATCACCAAAAGGCTCCCCCCCAGCCCCCATAGGTTCCCCCCCCAGCACCCATAGGTACCCCCCAGGACCCCTCCATCACCAATAGGCTTCCCTCCATCACCAATAAGCTTCCCCCCATCACCCATAGGTACCCCCCAGCACCCATAGGTGCCCGCAGCACCCACGGCGTTGCTAGTGCCGTCCTTGTGCCGTTCGGGGATCTCGGCCTTATTGGGGTTGTGGGCGCTGCTGACCATGGGGCTGGAGGGGTGGGGGGTGACCCCGCGCCCCCCCCCACCCATGGCCCCACTGCTGGCCTTGCGCCCCCCCCGCTCGTCCCGCAGCTCTGGCTCCGCTGCGCCAGGGGGGCTGCGCTTGGGGGGCAGCGGCACTGGTGAGGGGCCACCTATGGCAGGGATGAGGGGTCAGAATCCATGGGTGCCCCATAGCACCCATAGGAGCACCCCATAGAACACACCATAGCGTCCCGCATGGCGCCCCCCCAGCACCCACAGTGAAGCACCATAGCAATAGCAACGGTGCCAAATCCATAGCACCCATAGGGACACCCCAGCACGCCCCTGTGGCACCCAATAGCCCCCACAGGGACACCCTCCCCAATAGCACCCCCCACAGGTACACCAAAGTACCCCTCCCTGGGCCATAGGGACATCCATAGGACCTGCAGGAGCACCCATACACCCATAGGAGCACCCATAGGAGCACCCACAGAAGTCGCTGTGCCGCCGCTGCCGGTGGTAGGTGCCGGCGCCGCGCTGGCTCTTGCCGTGCCCGGCCCCGCTCTTGCCATTGGCCACGTCGTTGGGTGCCCGCACCCGGGCTAAGGACAAGGTGCTGCCGGTGCGGGTGTCCCCCGCCTCCACCTGCGGCAGGGACACAATGGGTCCCCATGGGTGCCAATGGGTGCCACTGGGTGCCAATGGGTGCCATTGGGTGCTCACCTCGCTTTTCCTGCCCAGCAGGAGGTAGGTGGCCCGTCACCTCGTTGTACTTCTGGGTGCTGAGGGAGTCCTTGATCTCCTCCCGCGTGTAGCCCATGCCCACCATAACCTCTGTGGGCAATGGGGGGCAATGGGGACACCCCAGGACCCACAAAGGGGGGGGTAATGGGGGGCGATGGGGACACCACAGGACCCACAACAGGGGGGGCATGGGGGTCTCACCGATGCGCTTGGTGTCCCCGAAGTCCTCCTCGGGCTCCTTGTAGGGCTTCAGCTCGTCCCCCTCATAGCCGATGTTGATCCATTTGTCCTTCATGATTTGCTGGGGGGGGGACACATGGGGATGCTCTGGGTCAGAGTCCCCCATGGCCCCATGGGAAGACCCCCCCTGAGATCCCCCTGGACCCATTGGAACTCTGCAACCCCCTTCCCCCTCCAGGACCCATTGGAAACCTCCAAACATACCCCCCCACCCAGGACCCATTGGAACCCCCCAAGCTCCCCACCCAGGACCCATTGGGACCCCCCAACCCCTCCCCCCCCAGGACCCCATAGCCCCCCCCGCTATGCCCCCACCTCGAGGGTGCAGCGCTTGGCGGGGTTCAGCACCAGGAACCGGCGCAGGATGTTCTCGCAGTCCGTGGACATGTAGAAGGGGACGCGGTACTTGCCCCGCAGCACCCGCTCCCGCAACTCCTGGGGGGCACCCATGGGTGACATGGGGTGGGGGGGCACCCATAAAGTGACATTTGGGATGGGCACCACGTGCAACGTGGCCCCGGGTGGATATGGGGTGGCTACCATCACCCCTCCATGGACACAGGGATGGACCGACATCCACCACGGCCATGGGTGGATATGGGGTGGCCACCACCTCCCCTGGACCCATAGCAACAGCATCACCACCACCTCCTCCATGGACATGGCTGTGTCGGATGCGGTCCCATCCCCATGGTACCCACCCCATCCACCATAGACATGGCTGTGTCGGATGCGGTCCCACCCCCATGGTACCCACCCCATCCACCACAGACACAGCTGTGTGGGATGCGGTCACATTCCCACGGCTCTATGGGGATGGCTCATGGTACCCACCCCATCCAATGCCCACATGGCCGCGGCCCAGCCGCATCCCAGCGCCCACCTTGAGGTTGTGGCCGTCGAAGGGAAGGGACCCGCTGACCAGGGTGTAGAGGATGACGCCCAGGCTCCAGATGTCCACCTCGGGGCCGTCGTACTTCTTGCCCTGGAAGAGCTCGGGGGCCGCGTACGGGGGGGAGCCACAGAACGTGTCCAGCTTGGAGCCCAGCCGGAACTCGTTGCTGAAGCCAAAGTCCGCGATCTTGATGTTGGCCTCGGCGTCCAGCAGCAGGTTCTCAGCCTGGGGGCACAGCAGGGGTGGGGCGGGGACACAATGGGAGGGGGGACAGGGACATCGGGATGGGGGTGAGGGGATGGGGATGATGGGGGTGATGGGGATGAGGACAGGAAGATAGGGATGGGGATGATGGGGACAGGAGAATGGGGATGGGCATGATGGGGATGAGGACAGGAAGATAGGGATGAGGATGATGGGGACAGGAAGATAAGGATGGGGACAATGGGGATGGGGATGATGGGGATGGGGACAGGAAGACAGGGATGAAGATGGTGAAGGCCATGCGGATGGGTTCTATGATGGGGATGAGGACAGGAGGATGGGGATGGTGAAGGGGGTGGTGAAGGGGATGGGAATGGTGAAGGGGATGGGGATGGTGAAGGGGATGAGGATGAGCTCTATGATTCTATGATGGAGACAAGGACACCACAGTGAGGACAATGGGATGGGGACACAGTGGGGAGAGAATGGGATGGAGATGGGGACAGGGACACCAGGAAAGGTCCGGGCTCCCACCTTCAGGTCCCTGTGGACAATGTTCTTCTGGTGGCAGTAGTGCACGGCTGAGACGATCTGGGGGGGACAAGGGGGTGTCAGTGGGGAGGTGGCACCCATGTCCCCACCATCGTGTCCCCATGGTGCCCCCCCGACCTGTCTGAACTTGGCTCTCGCCTCCTTCTCCTTCATCCTCCCATGGGACACGAGGTAGTCAAACACTTCACCTGCAGGGACACCCATGGGTGCTGCGGCCCTCCTGACCCCCCATGGGTGCTGGGTGCCCCCAGCAAAGGTGGCCATTGCCCCTCATTAGACCCCCCTCCAGCTCCCCCCCAGCACCCTAGGGTGCCCCCAGGGACCAATGCGGGGGGGCCAGCACGCATAGAAGGGGGTCCAGCACCCATTGAAGGGGGTCCAGACCCATAGTAGAGGGTCCGGCACCCACTGAAGGGGGGACCAGCACCCACTGGGGGGGGTTTCTCACCAGCGCTGGCATATTCCATCACCAGGTACAGCGTCTTCTCTGTCTCAATGACCTCAAACAGCTTCACTATGGGGTGGAGGGGGGGAAAACCATCAGCACCCATGGGTGCCCCCCACCCATGGGTGCCCCCCCAACCCCAACTCACCAATGTTGGGGTGGTTCAGCCCCTTCATGATACGAACTTCCCGAAAGAGCTATAATGGGGTGGGGGGGTGGGGTTAAATGTGTTACTGAGGGGGGGACACCAAGCCCCCCCACCATGGGTGCCCCCCCCCACCTTCTGCAGGCTGGTGGGGTTCAGCTGGGTCTTGTCGATGATTTTAATGGCCACCTGTGGAGAAAGGGGGGGGGAAATGATGAGGGGAGGATGACCCCCAACACCCGCCCCCCCCATGGCTCCATTCCCACCTCCCTGCCGGTCAGGATGTGCCGCGCCAGCTTCACTTTGGCGAAGTTGCCCTTGCCGATGGTGCGGAGGAGCCGGTAATTCCCGACGTGGGGCTGCTCCTCCGGGCACGCCGCGATGGAATTGCGGCAGCGGGCGCCGAGCGAGCGGCTGGACCAGCCCGAGCCCTTCTCCGAGCGGCTGCTGCCGAGCTAAGGGGAAGGGGGGGGGGGGGGGGGGGGAGCCCGAATGGAACCGTCCAAACCCCCCCCTCCCCATCACCATCACCACCACCTCTCAGTGACCCGGATCACACACACACACACCCCCCCTCAACTGACCCGCGGTTTGGGATCCATCCGGTCCAACCGGCTCCGGAGCCGCGTCCCGGCAGAGCCCGAGGGTATCCGGATACCCGGGACCACCCCCCCGCCCAAAGAGCCGGTCTCGACCCCTCCCAAGGGTATCCGGATACCCGGGGACTCCCCCCCACAAAGAGCCGGTCCCGACCCCTCCCAGTACCTCCGGACGCCTCCCGGTGGCCCCCCCTTTATAAACCAACCCCTCCCGGTGCCCACCCCGTTATAAACCGATCCCCCCCCCCCCCCCCCCCAGTGCCCCCAGCCCCTCCCGGTACCGATCAAGGCCCTCCCCTGGAATAAACCAACGCCCCCCCCCGGTACGGACCCACCCCTCCCGGTACCCCCGCTGTAAACCGCTCCCTCCCAGTACCCACCCCAGAATAAACCGAACCCTTCCGGTACCGACCGAGCCCCTCCCGGTGCCCCCCCTTTCCCCGGTATAAACCGAGCCCTCCCCGTGCCCCCGGTTCATCGTTCCGGTACCAACCGCCCCCCCCCGGCTCGGTACCGACCGGGCCCCTCCCGGTGCCCCCCTCCGGTGCCGGCCCTGCCCTCACCGCGTCCGGGTTCCGCTCGTTCCCCGCCGCCAGCGCCGACCGCGAGGACATCGTGACCGGCGGGGCCGGGCCGGGCCGGGCCGGGCCCTCAGCGGGCGGCGGCGGCCATGGGCCGCACCGGAACCGGAACCGGTGGTGGGCGGGGCCTAACGGCGCGCTGGCCACGCCCCTTAAAGCAGCAGCGCTTTCATAGGCGTGCTCGCCCCGCCCACCAGGCGCTGAGAGCCAATCACAACGCAAAGCCGACGCTTCCTATTGGATGAGCCCAAGCATGGAGACAGCCCGTCCCGCCCCTCCACTAGGGGGCGGGGTCAGTGGCAAAGCGTCTTTTCCATTGGTTGATGCGCTGGCTAATCGGAGGCGGGAGGAGAGAAGGAGGCGGGACTTAACCCCCGAGAGGCCGGGGCCGAGGTCCCCCGGGTCCTAGTGCCGCCGGTCGGGTCCCGCCCTTGGGCGCGGGGGGTCCCCTTTTGCCCCCGGCTCCTTCCATTCAACGTGAGGGGTCCCCGGGGGTTCCGTCCCGCCCCGGGGCGCGGCGCGTCCCTTGTGCCCCTATGGATAACACCGGAGGGGGTCCCCCCTGTGTCACTGGGGTCCCCTCGCCCTGATCCATGGGGTCCACAGCGCTCCTAGGGCCCCATCTGCGGGGCTCATGGGGTCCCCGGTGCCACCAAGGTCCCATCCCAGAGGCACCGGTGGCCCCCCCAAGACACGGCGTGGAACGGGGTCCCCTGCGCCCCCATTGTCTGCTCCCTGCGGCATTTGGGGTCCCCCCGCGCCCCTGTCCCCCAGGTCCCCTCTGTGCCCCCGGTGCCATCCGCCCCCCCGTGTGTCCCCCCCTCGTGTCCCCCCCGTCCCCGGTGACCCAGCGGAACCGGGACTGACCCTGCCCCGGCCATGGGCGGCCGCTTCCTCAGGAAACCCCTGGCCACCGTCACCGGGGTCACCAGCGCGGCACCAGTGTCACCAGCGCGGCACCAGTGTCACCAGCACCATCGCACCAGTATCACCAGCACCATTGCATTGGTGTCACCAGCACCGGCGTCACCAGTACCATCGCACTGGTATCATCAGCACCATCACACCAGTGTCACCAACACCATCGCAGCAGCAGCTGTGTCACCAGCACCATTGAACCAGTATCACCAGCACCATCGCACCGGGGTCACCAGCACCATCGCACCGGGGTCACCAGCACCATCGCACCGGGGTCACCAGCACCATCACATCGGTGTCACCAGCACCATTGAACCACTGTCAGCAGCACCATTGCACCAGCACCGGTATCACCAGGACCGGTATCACCAGCACCATTGAACCGGTATCACCAGCACCACTGAACCGGTGTCACCAGCACCACTGAACCGGTATCACCAGCACAGCACCAGCACCGGGGTACGTGTGCAGGGGCCGCGGGGCTTTGCACCCATGGGGCGGGCAAGGGGCGCTACTGCCCCGCTCTGGGGTCCCGGTTCCACTCCCCCCGGTTGCCTCCCGGTACCAGCCCGGTCCCATTCCCCTCCCAAGGCGATGCCGCTGCTGAGGAAGCCTCCCCGGGAGGACGACCCCGAGCCCGGAGACCCGTTCGCGGCCAGCCCCGAGAGCCGGTTCCGACGCCGCGCCACGCTCGAGCTGCTCGTGGGGCTCGGCCCCTTCGGGCGCTCCCGGCGCGGACCCCCCCCGGGACCGGGACCTGGACCGGGGCCGGGGCCGGGGCCCGTCGGCGATGCCCGAGCCCGGCGCCGCTCCGAGGACCTGGGCCGGCGGCGCCGCAAGGAGGAGCCCAGCGGCACCAAGCGGGGGTCCTGGCTGCGGCTCCCGGTGCCCACCCCGTGGGGCCAGCGAGGGGCCGGCGTGGACGGGGCGGGAGCAGGAGATGGGGACGGAGCCGGGCAGGGAACGGACGGGAGAGGCAAGGACAAGGAGAAGGAAAAGGAGAAGGAGCCGCTGTCGGGTGAGGGAAGGGGATGGGGATGGGGAAGAGGGGAGGAGATGTGGGGATGGGGATGGGGACGGGTGGGCAGGGGGGATGTGGGGATGGGGACAAGGGGAGGGGATGTGGGACATGGGGATGGAGGCACGGGGATGGGGGTGGGTGGGCAGGAGGACAGGAGGGATGTGGGGATGGGGATATGGAGATGGGGATGGGACTTGGGAATGGGGACAAAGGGATGGGGATGTGGGGACATTACAGGGACATGGGAATGGGAACGTGTGGACATGAGGACATGAGGGATGTTGGGATGGGGAAATGGGACATGGGCGCATGGGGAAGTGGGAATGGAACATGGGGATGGGATGTGGGATATGGGATATGGGAATGGAGACATGAGGATGGGGAAGTGTGAGGATGGGACATGGGAGTGGAGATGGAGATGGGGATGGGACATGGGGATACGGGACTTGAGAATGGGGACAAAGGGATGGGGATGTGGGGACATCACAGGGACATGGGGAAATGGGAATGGGGATGTTTGGGCATGAGGACACAAGCAATGTGGGTATGGGACATGGGGAGGTGGGAATGGGACATGGGGATGGGGACGTGGAGATGGGGACTTGGGTATAGGGACAACGGGATGGGGATGTGTGAACACCACAGGGCCATGGGGCTGGGGCCATGAGACACGGGGCTGGTGGCGCAAGGACGCCGGGATGCGGGGCCATGGGGCCACGGTGTGGGGCACAGCTCGGGTCCAGCACCGCTGCGTCCCGTCCTGTTCCCCAGTGCTGGAGATCCTGGAGCTGATCCAGCGGCGGGAGCTGGTGGCGGCTGATGAGCAAATCATCGCCCTGGAGGCCGAGTGCGCGGCCCCATCCTCATCCTCATCCCCACCCTCATCCCCATCCCCATCCGCACCGCCCCCGGGCCGCCAGGCGCGGGACGTGGCCCTGCTGTACCGGGCGCTGCTGGCGCAGCTCTGGGCCGTGCTGGCCGAGGCCGTGGCCGCCGCTCGCCCTTTGCCGTTGCTGCGCTCCGTTATCCGGGTCCTGCAGCAGGAGGAAGCCGCGGATCAGCGCCTGGGACCCGGCGGAGCGGGGCGGCCCCGGCGGCTGCGGCAGCGCTGGCAGGAGGCGGCAGCGAGGGCGGCCGGGGAGCGCCTGGCGCAGGCGGCGCCGCCCGGGGCTGGGACCGGGACCGGGACCGGGACCGCGCTCGGAGCGGAGCTGGCGGCGCTGGCGGAGCGGGTGCTGCGGGACCTGAGCTCCGTGCGCGCTCACGTGGCCCCCGCGTTCCCGGCAGCCTACGAGGCCGCCGCCGTGTACGCGCGCGGGTACCACCGGGCCCTGGCGCAGCGGCTCGGGGCCGCGGCTCAGCGGGCGCTCGGAGTCACGGAGCTCTACGTGCTCCTGGAGTGGAACAGCGGCGCCTACCCCCGGTGAGGGACCCCATAGCACTGACCCCATAGGGACCCCATAGCACAAGGGACCCCATAGAGACCCCATAACACTGACCCCTATAGAAAACCCAGAGCACTGACCCCTATAGGGACCCCATAACACTGACCCCTATAGGGAGCCCATAACACTGATCCCTATAGGGATCCCATACCAGTGTCCCCTATAGAGACCCCATAGCAGACACACCTATAGCACAGAGACCCCCATAGCACTGAGACCCCTATAGTGGCCTCTACCCCTGGTGAGAGCCTCCATAGCACTGAGACTCCCATAGGACCCTAATGACTGCCCCAATGGCACCCCAATAGGACCCTAATGACCACCCCAATAGGACCTCAATGACTAATGTCACCCTAATGGGACCCCAATAGGACCCCAACAGGACCACAGTAGGACCCTAATGACCACTCCAATGGCACCCAGATGTCACTCCAATGGCACCCAGATGTCACCCCAATAGAACCCCAATAGAACCCCAATGACCCCCCCATGACCCCCCCAATGACCCCCCATATCCCCCCCTTCCATAGGGAGGTGCTGGGGAATCCTGAGGTGGGGCCTCTGCTACAGGGACTGGGGCCCCCTCTGCCCCCTGAGACCCAGCGCAGCCTCGAGAGCAGCTGCATCAGCGCCGTCAAGGTGGGACCCAGCTCCGGTGGCACCGGGGCAGGCACCGGGGCAGCTGCAGTGTCCCCATTGCCGGTGCCCCATTGCCGGTATCCCCATTGCCGGTGCCCCATTGCCAGTGCCCCATTGCCAGTGTCCCATTGCCAGTGTCCCCATTGATGGTGCCCCATTGATGGTGCCGCATTGCCGGTGCCCCATTGCCAGTATCCTCATTGCCGATGTCCCCTTTGCCAGTGCCCCATTGTCAGTGTCCCCATTGCCAGTTATTCCCATTGCTGGTATCCCCATTGCCGGTCCCCCATTGCTGGTGCCCCATTGCCATTGCCCCATTGCCATTGCCCCATTGCTGGTGTCCATGGGCAGGCGAAGGTGGAGGCAGCGCTGGCCCAGGAGCTGCAGCTCAGCGAGGACTCGTGGGCCGAGGAGGTCACTAGCCAGGAGCTGCAGGAAGGGCTGGCCACGCGCGTCACCGGGGTATGGGCACCCATGGGGCACCCATGGGCCCCACTGCACCGCATGGTGGTGATGGGTGGTTGGGGACCCCATAGGGACCTCATGGTGGTGGGTGGTGAGGACCCTATGGTGATGGTGATGGGTGGTTGGGGACCCCAGGGGGAGCCCATGGTGGTGGGTGGTGAGGACCCTATGGTGATGGGTGGATGGGGGCCCAATAGGGACCCTATGGTGATGGTGATGGGTGGTTGGGACCCCATGGGGATGTGGTCGCCGTGTCCCCACAGCTGCTGCGGGCGCATGTGGATCGAGCCCCCCAGATCACCCCCGAGTTCGGCAGGGAGATGGCGCAGAGTCTGCTGGGCGTGCTGGTGACCTTCCTGCATAGGTGGGACATGGGGACAGGGTCCCCATTGCATTGGGTGCCCATTGCATTGGGTCCCATAGCACCCATGGGTGACCCATGCGGGTGCTTCAGCTTCCAGCGGAAGGTGGAGCGGTTCCTGGAGGCACCCAATGACCCGTGCCCACCCGACGGCACCGCCGGCCGCGCCATCGCCTTGGTCAACTGCTGCCCCACGTTCAGGTGAGGCCGCCCCATGGCCATGGGGGTGCTGGGGGGTGGGGGGTCAACGTC